GGGGGGGGGGGGGAGTGTTGAAAAATAGTAATAAACATGACTTCTCATGTTCTAGGAGTTATTTTTATGAATTTAGTTTTTATATTAGTGGGTCATCAATTTACTATTATTGGGGGACAAAATAATTGTGGTATTTTAATTCTCCAAGTAATGAAGGAGTTAGGTCTTTATTATTTTTATTATTGTATTATATAGTGAGTTATATTGCACAAGTCTATATATATCCTATTTAATACATCTATTTGGATATGAGTGAAAGAAAGCGTTTTTACTATCTTCAATAGTCTCTTTCATTATATTTTTTTCTGAGTGTGTGATAGTCGTCTAGATTCTAACAAAGGTATTGTTTTATCAATTGTTGCTTACTAAAAAAAAAATCCTTGTACATATTCTACAAGTTAATTTATAATGTGCTAACTAGGTTAATTTTTATGACTCAATCTCATATTATAGGGGTTGATCGATGATGAAGTATCAGTTGGAGCTAGATGCAATTGAAGTCCTTAAACAAAAGCTAGATGTAGTTGCATTGGGCTAGCATATTTTTGAATTAAGTGAGAGATAACTAGTAGCTGAATGGTTGAAAAAACTAAATGTGCTCATTGGTAATGATAAAATTGCTTATCTTTCTTACATAGAGTGATAAGTGATTATGGGTGTTACAACAATTCATAAGATTTATTGATCACGAGTCATGTGATTTTCAAAATTATTGAAGCATGATTGTAGTTTGCAGATAAGGAGAAACCTGGCTAATACGAGGCAGATGTCAGACACCACATTAGGATCGTCGAGTTCTCCTTTATTTATGTACATCCACAGCATATTCGTCATAATCGCCACCAGCATGGATGTCGTTCCCTTTGGCCCACTCGCAGAGCCGGTTGTGGTGTTGGCAACATCCACTCTCATTCTCTCTCTCTCTCTCTCTCTCTCTCTCTCTTGCTAAATATATATAAATATATATGTGGAGTTCACAAGCTTCGCTTTGTCTCTTTGGATTCTAGTATTTCTATCTCACTTTGTCTCAGCTCCACTCCCGCCAAGTTTCCCTTCCCGAGCAATGCTGCATGGACATGGACTTATTTGTTGAATCATTCTTAATTGACGGTTTACCTGCTATTAAATAAAATTCACTATTAATTCAGTAACGACTATGATCATCATGTCAATAAATAAAGTCATTAAATTATGTTCAAATAACATTTCCCTTCCCCAAATGTACTTCACTTTTGTAAACTCTATCTTTTTCAATAACAACGCTATACACTCTATCTTTTTGTAATATCTTTGTGCATCACCTCAATATAGACCATTAGATTTATAGGTTCTGAAAGAAGAAAGAAGAAATTGATATATATATATATATATATATTAAAATAAATTTTCTGAATACAATGTATGCTCAACTAGGTTGAGTTATATACACCAAGATCAAGCAAAGATCCCAAGATTCAAGGGATTACAATGGCTATGATAAGGATAAAGTTTACAAATGATAGCATAATCAAGTAACAGAGGATTGAAACATTGGATATGCTAGATCAGGATTAAGATGATCTTTTGGATTTGCTACATGATGATCAAAGGCTGGATTAGGATCAGGATTATCATCTGGATTTGCTGCATGATCATCAAAGGCTCTAACATCCCCCCGCAAGCGTATAGGAGGTGGACACACTAGAAGCTTGGACTTGAGTTGAGCAAAACAAGTGGCAGTATGACCCTTAGTAAAAATGTCAGCAATCTGATCAAGGAAGGAAATGAATTTAACTGAAACATCTCCATTAATCACTTTTTCCTGAACAAAATGATAGTCCACCTTGATGTGTTTTGTGCAAATGTGAAAAACAAGATTCAAAGTCAAGGCTAAGGCACTAGCATTGTCACACCAAAGTTGAGACTAACCCTTAACTCCCTCCTTCAAAAGCATGTGAAGCCAGTAAAGTTCAGTTGTGGTTATGGCCACTGCACGATATTCCGCCTCTGTGCTGGATTGAGAGACAATAGCTTGTTTCTTAGCACCCCAAGACACAAGACAAGAGCCAAGGAAAATACCAAAACCAGTTGTGGACTTACAATCATCTGGTTTCTTGCCCAATTTGCATCACAATGGGAAGTTAAAGCAAGTGCACTAGGTGCGTAGAAGAGTCCATGATCAATTGCTCCTTTGAGATACCGTAGCACTCACTTAGCAGAAATCCAATGAGCAGTTGTAGGTGATTGCATGTATTGGCAGAGTTGGTTAACATATGAGGCAATGTCTGGTTGAGTTATAATGCAATATTGAAGGGCACCCACGACATGCCGATATTCAGTAGGATCAGGAAGTAATGCACCATCAAACATGGAAAGTTTGGTGCCCGAGACACAGGGAGCAACGTAAGGCTTTGCACCAACAATTTTCATCTTATGCAAAAGATCCAAAATATATTTAGATTGACAAAGACAGAGACCCAGTAGAGTTCTAGTAGCTTGTATGCCAAGAAAATACCCAAGTCCTTAAGTGGAAAAATTTGCTGCAATTGGCTAATGAGAGACGAAATGACAATAGCATTATTACCAATTACAAGGATGTCATCAACATAGCTAAGTATAAAGATGTGCACATTAGTTGTATGGAAAGAAAATAAGGAAGAGTCAGCCAAGGAAGCTGTGAAACCAAGATCCATCAAGAGATTATATAGCTGGTGCAACCATGCCCGTGGAGTTTGTTTGAGTCCACAAATTGCCTTATCTAACTTGCAAATTGTTCCATGAATATTGCTCATCAAGGGTGCCATCTAGAAAAGCATTAGAGACATCCAACTGTCAGATGACCCAATTAAATTGAGTTACAATGGCAAGCATTGTACAAATAGTAGTGAGTTTAATAACTAGACTAAAAGTCTCAGTATAGTCTACATCATTTCACTATTGAAATCCTTTTGCAAATAACCATGCTTTGAAGCGATCAATAGAACCATCAGGCCTTTATTTGATTTTGTACACCCATTTTGTGCGAATGATATTTCGATGCAAAGGACGGGAACAAAGAGTCCATGTTCCATTAATAATAAGTGTATCATATTCTTGTTTCATAGCTTTATGCCAACGTGAATCGGTGACTACTTGAGAATAGGAAGAGGGCTTCACTTTATGAAGGATAGAAGAAAAAACCTTAATGGGGTGTTTGGTGGAATAGTAAAAGGTGTAGCCAAGATATGATTTTGGTCGGAGGGTTCCTATGCACAAACGAGTAGTCATAGAATGGCGAGGCACAACCGAAAAGGAGGAATTCGGTGTTGGAGAAAGGGATGAAGATGAGATAGAGGGAGATGTAGTGATGGTGGTGTCAAAATTGGGGTTGTGTGTAGAGGAAGGTGATGGGTTTGCTGGTGACTCAAGGTGATTCTGACCAAGTGTAGGAGAGGGTTGTAGATTCAAAAAATTAGGTGCAGGAGACAAAGAAATATTGGAAGCAAAATGTAATGGAGGGAAATGGAAGGGTGGAAAACTTAGTTGGGTGATAGGTGGAAATAAACTAGTCGAAGGCAGAGAAGAATTGTGTTGTTCCAATCTAGGAAAGAAGTGTTCATAAAAATTATGTGCCTTGATATATAAACCATGTTGGAGGAAGTGTCAAGACATCGATATCCTTTTTGACCAGAGCTATACACAAGAAAAATGCAAGGTGTGGTACGGTAATCTAGTTTGTGAGCAATGTAAGATCTTAGATGGGGATAACACCTACAAACAAATCTGCGAAGATGGGAGTAATCTTGGACAGAATGAAACTATTTTTTGAATGGACTAGAACAATGAAGAACTGGTGTGGGCAAGCAATTTATAAGGTATATTGTCGTGACAAAGGCATCCACCCAATATTTTTGTGGAAGTCGATATTGAGCCAGTAAATTAAAGACCAACTTCAAAAACGTCTCAATTTTTGCTCTGCAAGGTCATTTTGTTCTGAAGTGCAAGGACAAGATTGTCAATGAAGAATCCCATGTTTGGTAAGAAAGACTTTGAACTCATTTTTGTTAAATTCACTACCTCCATCAGATTGGATTTGTTTGATTTAGTGACAACAAGTTTTCTACCAAGCACTTGAATTTAATGAAGCTCTCAAATACACCAAATTTGTGATGTAAAGGGAAAATCCAAGTAAAACGGGAAAAATCATCAATGAAGGCAACATAATAATTGCAGCCACTCACAAACGAAATTGGTGAAGTTCAGACATCTAAATGAATAAGTTTAAGTGGTTGTTTTGTCACATGAAGAGAGTGGGGAAAGGGTTGTTTCTTACTTTTACCAAATTGATAAGATTCACAAAGAGAAGGTGAATTATTATTGCCATTGAGCAGAATAGGTAAATGGCTAGAATTTATTACTGTTTTAACAATGACATCAGATGGGTGACCAAGTCTTGAATGCCACCTAGAAAAGAAAACGAAGTCGTTACACCCAATAAGACAACAAGTGAGCATGCCGTTTTATTTTTAATGAAGAGCTTCCTCAACTGGATGGGATATAAACCATTTTCACTCTTGCCTTCCAGTAGCATGGTTCCTGTCTCCATGTCTTTCACAAGAAAACGTTTGGCAGTGAGAACAAAGAAACAATTATTGTCTTCACAAAAACGTTGAATAGATAATAAATTAGTGGAAGCCGATGGACAATGAAGAATATTTTTCAAATTTAAACAAAAATGAGAAGCATAAAATTGCTTAGATCCAGTTTGAGAGATTTGAAGTCCATCACCATTACCAACAACCTCAGATTCTTGCCCATGATAAGGTTCATTGGCTTCAATTATCGTGGGATCAAATGTAACATGATTATTAGCACCACTGTCAATATACTAGGTGTAATCTTCATGTGTCATATTTGAATGGACTACCATAGTACCAAATTGAGAAGGTGGATGTCGACCTTGATAGGAGTAGTCCATTCCATGGTAACAATCAAGTGCTTGGTGATTGTTTCTCCCACAAATTTGGCAAGGTGATCATGACCGAGGAAATTGTTTAGTGGTTGAGTGGAAGAAGCATTTCTTTGAGGCCTTTTTGGAGATGATGATCAATTCCCCCTTTTTATACTTTTAAATTGCTTGACTCTCGTTGCGCCACACATCCCCTTTTAACTGGTCCAGTTTTATTTCGAATCAATAAAAATATATCAAACTTAACACGAGAGTATTTGAGTTAAGCCCGTGCACATGTCATGTATGCCCAAATGCAATTTAAATGGACTTACAATCTCAAATACCAAAGAAATGCATTGGCATGATAGTGTCTGATTGTGCATGGGTTGGTTACTTACCCCATAGGTGAGTGGGTGGGGCTTGGGAATTGGACTAATTCGATTAAGTCTCACAGGAATATGAATGATAATGTGTCAAGTATAGCAAGAAGGGTTAAATTCTCCCTCGAGTGCAAGACCCAATTGTATCGGTTATACACTCTCCGGTGGTGTAACGAGTTCATAAAAGTGTGACGGCGTACACAAAGCCGAAGGTGGGATGTTCTTAAAATCCGTATCAGTTTGGTAGCCTATCGGTGAAAGGCCATAAATTACCTACACCATAAAAACAAGAAAATAAATGGAAGTTCATTGAGATATCTCAATGGTATGGGCACGGAGTTTCCGATGCATGAGCATGACATCATAGTGTCGTAGGAGCCCAGGTTAGGTTAGGTTCAGAGTTTGGTCATACATGCACGAAGCATTAACTCATGTCATGTCATGGTTGGTAACATTTATTTATGTTACATGTTGCATATATGAACACTCGATGTTTGGGAATTGTACCACTCATTATATGCAACATTGGGTTGAGAGATGTACTTCATATAGGGCATTGGCTCACACCGTCGTAGGAAAACATTTCAGGAATAATGCATGCTACCGCGGATGGCCAGCACTTGGGCCCAGCTTGATGATAAAGCCAAAGTCCGAGCTCCTATTTTGATATCATAGATACCTTTAGCCTCAATTGTAATTACTTAGATAGCCCTTCTTTTGTAAAGGCATGTAATTTGGGGGCATTTGTATCGACTCTTTTGACAAAGATTTGTACATTTGGAGTTGTTGGTTAACGTTTAAGGCATGAGAATTATTTAAATCTTTACATTGTGCCTCAGAAGGTCATTGAGACAAATTGTGATTTTAGTAAAGCTCTTCATATAAAGGAGACTTTACCAGAATTTCGTAAACATCCTTCCTCTATCTCTCTCACAAAAAAAATTAAAAATAAATTAATTTTTTTAAAAAAATAATAGTAAAACAAAAAATCTTCATTTAATATTTCCGTTTTAGGCTTCAAATTGCCTTAAGTCACTCCTAGGAGTCAATCTTTTCGAATTTGCGGTTAGGTTGCGTACAAAATAACGTTTCACACCTCGAAGTTTTAAACTTCTCTTTATTAAAATATTTTTAATCATGACTCAAATTTTTACTTAAATTTGAATTAACATTTGATTAAAAAAATTTAATTGGATACAAAAGACTCCAATGGACAAACTCAAATTTAAAAAATAAAAAACTCACATTTAAAATAAGATAAAATATAACTATTAAATCTTTAAAGGATAATAAAATCTCACAATTAAAAATTTTGGTAAAACTTGAATCTATCTCAATTTGAGTAAAAAATAAATCTTCCTTGATTTGATATTGATTTGGGTATTGCGTCGTTAAAAAATTTTACTCAAATTTAAATTTTACTCAAATTTAAATTTAAGTCTAATAAAAGATAAGGATCTGAAATGCTGTAATAACTTTATATTTTTTGCTTTTTCAAGGTAGCTGGGCCGATCTTGACTTCCAAGTTATGTTCCTGTTTCTTCAACAACTGTTTCTTGGACAACTATTTGCACTGCAGATTGATGGCACCTAAGCTCAGGCAAATGCAACACCTTATGCACATATATCCTCAGCTGAAAAGAAAAACTGAGAACACTACTGAATAAGAACCCAGTAGAAGCTTATTTACACCTTTCCTCCCCTTTTGAAAGAAGAGATACACACGAATAATACCACTCTAAGATTGGCCAGGTGACAATTGACATTACAGAAACATAGCAAGTATTTGTTACAGCACTGGGTTCTTCCACGGGATACATGAACCCCCGCTTAGACATACACAAAAAGTATTTTCCAAAAAAAAAATAAAATAAACGTAAACTGAACCTGCTCATTTACTGAAAAATGGCTCTAAATTGTGGATACAGGATGACCTTGCAAAATCAAAACGCTTTTAGTGAAGACATTTAAAGCTCATCCACGCCATTGTAGTAATGGCGGAAAACACAAGAGAAGTCATCAGTTCCACGACCCTTGTTGCAGAGCTCCGTGAATCTAGAGAGATAAAGCAATGTAATTAGGACCTACAAATAGATCCAGGATATCATGCCATAACGATAAACATGTCTAACTCTGATATTTTCGAGCACAATGATGATAGGGCCTCAAAATTTAGAACGACTTCCTCATAAATGCAGAGGTCTCTATAACAAATTTATTTGCAGCTGTTATCTGTTTATTTAGCTTTAATTTTCCTTCGATCTTGAAAAAAATCATCAAAGAGAGCATCTATCAAGATAGCATGCTCCAAACAAGGTACACTTCCATTGGATATAACCAACTTAGCAATTCAAATTGCAAAAAAGAAAGACACAATATGACAATTCATCACACCAATCTAACTTAGAATTGGGGAAGAAGAAAAGTGGAAGTGCCTTACAACTTCAAAGGATTCAATTCACATCTGAGTAGAATCTACGCTCTGAGAAAGATATTCCATTATTTCAGAAAGAGACAACATGATGCTCATGCACCCACTCCCATTCCCTTTACCATAGACATCTATACTGCATGTGGGAGTGGGACTGGGGAAAACCAAAATGGGCAAATTGGGAATATCCGTACGGTAGGAACGAACATAAAGGGAAAATTTTAGTTTTCATTATTGACAATCAACTCTTTATTTCGATGGCTAAAGGTATCACTTGCTTTACAATTTGTTTTGCCGATCATAATTTTTTGCTCCAATGTTCACATTATCTTCTTGTAGGTGCCAGGTCAGGTAGTACTAGCTTTTTGGATGAAAGAGGAATATGCTAGATCACTTAGTACTAACAAACAAACAAATAACTGTATTGATAATTTACATTAGTGAGGGGTAATTTAAGCACTTGGAGGAGTGAGAAGTGGAAAACTATGGCATGGTTGGGTGCTGAAGTTGATATCAAGGCAATATTAAGGGTTTTCTGATAATTACGCAATGGCAACAATCACTTGCTACCGGGGGAGAACAACAAATGTCAGGGCCAGCTGCCATTTCAAGCAGGATAAGCGCATAAGAATGATACTTGCAATGTCAAATCATGTGATTACATAGGAACTGATGTTGTAACCTGAATGGGAGTGTCAAAAGAATAAAGTGTCGTAAGCTATTAGTACCATGGGTCTTTTTTGCGGATAAGCTTTTCCAGATTTTAATATGTAAGTCATTGGAGTCAGCTAAGGTAAGGCAAGTTCTCATATTATCATTCTCTTCTTTTCCTTTCCTCCTCCAGCTTTGTAATAGGTCCAGACAGGAATGGATACATTATAAGACATGGGCATCCAGTCGAAGAGTTGGGTTCAAAAGATTACAGTGATATGGTGAGGATGAAATTCCAATGTTCACAAAGAAACTCTGATTGGCTTATCTAAATACCTAGATCCTCGATACTCACTAGTTATGTAAATTGCATTTGATGCACATAATTGTACAGAGAGGTACCTATGCACTGAAGAGGTTGAAAATGAATATGCAGAACTGCTGCAACAAGAAACTTCATATCACCATGAGGTATTTGTTTGTATGCTTATTTATGTTTTTATTTGCTGGGATTCATGAAGATTTANTTTTCTCCGAACCTCTTCTCCTAGTATCAATGCCATAACATCCTCCAATTTTATCTTTGCAGACCCGGAAGAATTGCTTACTGCCACGACAAGTCCATTNTTTGTATGCTTATTTATGTTTTTATTTGCTGGGATTCATGAAGATTTATCTAATCATTTCAACATTGTTGCAAAACAAGAAAAGCATTTAACCAAAACGTTGTTGACATGCTATTATCATGGTTCAAAGAATCGTTAAGCCTAAAACACTTGGTCGAGTCATATCTGACTCAGCACCTTCCATTTTTATATGGCTCCATATTCAATGTAAAACACAAATTTTGCGTGACATGGCCTGGTCTTTCGAGACATCTTTTGAGTCAACTACGGGTCGTTTGAGCCATTGCCATCGAATGGGCCGATACCCTTCCATGACGTTGCGATATGACATGAATCCCTCACCATGTTCAACTTATTCAATTTATAATTTCGTTTCTGCAATGCCACAAGTGATGCGTCTTAGTGCCCTCCAAGTCAAAGGCCGATACAATGACCTTGGACCATTATTACCATCCACTTCTACACTGGAGTGTAAATTTTATACTTATTCTTGTTAGTGGACTTCCACAATTCATGTATTTGGGATATCAAATTCTTGAACTTCCGTATCTCGTGCATCTGTGATATTGCTTAGTGCACGTTGCTATAACCACTTAATTTCATCCCAAAATGACTGATCAAGCGTGGGCCTAGTTATAATAGTGATTACATAAAGGAAAAAGGACTTACATCTCTTCTGCTTGACATGTTAGTGGGCATTTGAGACCAACCTCCTTGGCTGATGCTGAAGCTAGATCTAAATCTTTAGCCTGCATTTTGAAAAAAAAAAACGAGAGAGAGAGAGAGATTGTACACATTTATGGTCAGCTCATTTAAAATTGTAAGGATGAAATTAAATCTAAGACTAATCAAAAGACTCAAAAATTAGATATATCATTTAGCCATGGACAGAGAGATCAATAGTACAGTAAATGTGAGCAAGCTAACTCAAAGAAGAAGTCTGATGGACCACAGAAAAGTTGCTGATTCCTTGTCACCGAATGAACAAGGACCACAACTGTATTGTCTTCATTAAGACAGCTAGGTGGACTGCAACAAAAAGTGGATGGAAACCCAAAATATGGGTTTCACTTGAAATGAAGCTTTTGTCAAAGTATGCCAATAAATGCTTACAACAAACCCAAATGTCAAATTTCGTGACTAATGACAAAGTGAACTTGCTTTTTCCCCTTGGAGTGCGAGAGATTGAAGAAATGGATCCCAAAATATAAAAAATTAGCTATAACCTGTGCCCAAAGGCATTATGCAACATAAAATTTGAGCACCAAAAAAATCGATCTCACTATATCAAATAACAATTTTTTCTTTCCTTTACGTTCGTTAATTACATAATTTAAAATTAATTTCTACCAATCATCTTTTAAAAACAAATTGACAAAACTTACTCAAAATACATGACCTCAAAAAATATCAATATATATACGCACATAAACAATGTTTGTAATAAAAATTATATCGAACCACAAATTAATCAAAAATTAAATGATTCAACTTATAATAGAAATGAGTGATATGATAAAAATAGGTGAGAAAAATATGTAAGGATAAACTTCAAAGTGCTAACTATCTTATTAGATAGATATCTTGCAAACTCCGACCTCTTGTATAAATATCAAATAAGAAGAAAAAGAAGCAAAAGAAAAGAGAAGGGGAAGAACCCATAATATCATATTTAATTGCACGAATTGATCGAGAAAATCAAGGGAAAAATTGTTTGACATCACACATTTAAGGCTAGTGGCCACTTGTGTTTTCTACTCAACTCCACCCTAATGCCCTCTTTCTTTCTGTACGAATATGTAGGGCACAACATATTATACTAATTATTTACCCAATTTTTCTTCAGTAAGTAGCAAATTTTACATTTCTTTCACGTGTTTCCAACCTATTGTTTCTTCTTTTGCATATTTGGAATGTTTCTGAAACTTTCCAAAAGCAGAACAAAACTGTTCGCTAAACAAAAAATTGATCCTTAAAAGATTAATAATGTATCTAGTATCAGAGGAAATATACATTACTCCAAGAGATTGATTTCCAAGCACGAGTTGTCATAGTAGCTAGATGGTAGCCCATTCATTATCTGGTAGAGTACACTTTTGATGAGCAGATGCCACAAGAAGCTCAGTATATCCACAACATTTACCAATGAAATGAACAATCACAGAGCCCAAACAAAATCACTCCTTATTTTGAGGATGAGAGATAATAATCATAATATCCATTTGGACCACATGGTCTCAAGTGGAGTCCCACAGCTCCAACAAAAGAAACTAGAATCATAATGTCAAAAATCTCCAGTCTCACTCGACTCATAGTTGACTCAAAATTGTCTAAGATGACTTAGTTGAATCATCTAAGTCATCGTCATTGAATCACAACATATCAGCTGATATCATTCTGCGATGCCGTGATATGGCTTAAATCTCTTGCCATTTCAACTTCTTCTTCTATCTAGATTTCGTGAATATCGCCCGATCTTGTTCTGCAATGCTACAACCAATAGTTGATACCACAACCTTGAACCATACAACGAATGACCAAGATGATGTGCTTAGTACGAAAAACATCCAGGATGCACACTAATGCACATTATTGTCAAACTTGGTCTGCTTGGCATCATTTGGCTGCAGCTGAAATTGCAGTCAGAAATTTTCTAGTGTCATAAGGCTATACGGCTATGGTTCGGGTGACAGCTTACGTTTGGATGTCCATTGTTCAGGTTAAGATTGTGCATGTGTGTAGTTAGTTACCATTTCATACAATTACTCTTAATTTTATGTTACCTTGCCTTCCTCTAACTCATCTCAGCTATCGAATAACAAGAAAAAGAAGGTAATATAACGATTATTTCTTGATCAATCAAAAGAAAAGTGCTGAACACATAAACAAAAAATAACCAAGCAAGAGAAGAGATTATTGGATAAAAAATAGAAACTTAGATGTCAAAGACAACGGATGATAATCAGTCAACATCTCATCTTTAGAAGAATTTGTGCAACTAGTTCATCAAATCGTCAAATATGATAGTCCATAAAACAGAATAAACTAATCTTCTCTTTAAACCATTTGTTACACAAGAGCAGGGAGGCTGATTTATCACAGACATGAGCTCAAAATGTTGATAGCCGATACATGTACGGTCAATGAGGAGAATGGAGCATATAAACATAGTCCAAAAATGAGCAGAACAAAGTTCATATATACCTGAAAGGAAAATTTTAAAATATCTTGGGGATGTGTATAAAATATTGGCACTAGACATGAATGTTCACTTAGGTCTATATGGTTGAATAACTGTACAAGGCACTTTTCAAGTTCTAATCATGGGGAATGGAGAATAGCAATCATTTAAGAGGGATATTGCAGTAAATGGTTTGATAAAAGAAAAATGAAGAATACCTACTCCATTCAAATTGATAAAGGATAATCAAAACTGTGATGCTTTGTGCCATATGGATCTGTAGTTCTTTATCCCACAAAGGAATGTAATTGCAACCGCAAAAGCAATATGTTTATCTAGAGCAAATAATATTTTACTAACTAAAAATAAAAAGATCAATAGGAAATTCCAATGGTTCCAGAATCCAGATAAGGTCCCTACCAACCATGGACATCTTAAATAAGTTGACCATGGATTCTAGTCCCAAAAGACTTCTCCAAGGCACCAAATGACCAAGTGTTTCTATGAGAGCAGAAACTAAGTATAAACACCCGGACCAAACCACTTACCATAAGCTTAGATGTAAACCCACCAGCATAATTCCTTGAAGAGGGCACCCCCTCCATCACTCCAGGCACTGGATTATAAGTGTCACTGTCGTGTATATCCATGAAAACAAGCATGTTAGAAAACAAATCTAAAAACATTTTTGAAAAGTCTAATTCTAATCCAAAACCTGGCAATAACCCTTTGATATGATATATATGCGCTGAGGTTTTTAGAATCGGGATCCTACCATGGATCAATGGAGTATAAAAGATTATGATCGTTAGAACCGGATCGAGAATTGTAAGATCCAAAGACAAAAAATATATGTAACCAGGTTTCTTAGAAACAGAAATAAAACAAACCTAGTAATACATGTAAAATGTATAAATGGTATGGAAAATATATAAAACTTGAGAGTTTTTGTTTAAAACGTGAGAAACTACAACTCGTAGAGGAACTGTTAATCTTGTAGGATTTTGTGAAGACAAATAGGAGAATTGGAGTGTTTTGATATTAACTTTATGAGAAAGACGAAGACCGAGAAGGAAACATACAAAGTCGAGAGACTATTGAGTAACAAATTTTGTCAATTCGACATCCAATAACAAAACACAGAGAAAATGAAAATTGAATATATACCTGATTGNTGTTAGAAAACAAATCTAAAAACATTTTTGAAAAGTCTAATTCTAACCCAAAACCTGGCAATAACCCTTTGATATGATATATTATGCGCTGAGGTTTTTAGAATCGGGATCCTACCATGGATCAATGGAGTATAAAAGATTATGATCGTTAGAACCGGATCGAGAATCGTAATATCCAAAGACAAAAAATATATGTAACCAGGTTTCTTAGAAACAGAAATAAAACAAACCTAGTAATACATGTAAAATGTATAAATGGTATGGAAAATATATAAAACTTGAGAGTTTTTGTTTAAAACGTGAGAAACTACAACTCGTAGAGGAACTGTTAATCTTGTAGGATTTTGTGAAGACAAATAGGAGAATTGGAGTGTTTTGATATTAACTTTATGAGAAAGACGAAGACCGAGAAGGAAACATACAAAGTCGAGAGACTATTGAGTAACAAATTTTGTCAATTCGACATCCAATAACAAAACACAGAGAAAATGAAAATTGAATATATACCTGATTGTAATCCCTCGTCGAGAGAAAAGAAAATAAGCCTAATTGTTGTTTTCAACTTTTAAACATAGAGGCGAATGAATGAAGTTAGTTTTTTTTAGTAAAGAGAGATTTCTATAGCTTTTCTTATGTGTTGAAATTTCCTACTAGACCAATTGTACGGGACAATCACATATGAGTTGGGTTTTTAAGCATTACAGTAATGAATATGACTTGGGCCAGCAAAATAGCGAAAGATACCTAACAAATAAACCCAAAAATTTGGATCAATAAAATCGCACTAGGGATGAGGATCCTACAATCGTACAAGATCCGGATCATGATCCATTACGACTTATGAACTTGGGATTTTTCAAGAAACTCGGATTGATTTCTGTATATAGGATCGTAAGATCTTATGATCCTACGATTCAGATTGGGATTCTGATAGCCATGTTATGCACTGGAAACTGTTTTGAACTTCTATGTCATTTGACATCTAATCACCCTCTCAAATTTCTGCTCTTGCAAAGTCATCCCATTACTTGGTTTTTCCACAGAATTTGAGATCCTTTACTCAATTAGGTACATGCTTTAAGCTTCATTAAGAAAGAACCTTGTGCAGTCATTGCAAAAAGTTCAGGTGAAGGCTCTGGATATGAAATGTTTTTAGTATAGAAATAACAGTAATCATTCGCGTAGGGAGGTGAGTATGAAGAAAGTCTCATTCAACATTCCCCAAGTGCTGAGAACAGCGAGGAAGTGGGTTAGGTGCGTCCATTTTGAACTTAATTGAGTGGTTCTTTCATTAGTCGTACTGCTAATTGTCAACTGTGCAAGCCTATATGCCATGAACAGCAACTAATGTTAACGAGCATGCAACCATTAGCTATGTTGCTACCTGTTACACAATATATTCACATTCCCTGGGACATACGAATAAGTGAAGGAACAAATGCCAATTATAAGGTCAATGGGTATCAGAGTCTCTCTTCCTGATGCGTTTACAGGTATCCTCAAACACAGATTTGAGTAAAATTGTGCAAGCATATCTCTGTTTGAAAAAATCGTAGATATTCAGAATTCAGAACATCTATCCATGAAATTTTTTCCAATTTTTTATCACAAGAGAACAAATATTAAGGGGGAAAAACTTTCAGGCGACATTCAGATATGCAGATGAAAAATATCCTATGGATTTATCAAAGTAAAATTAAGAAGTAGATTAGTGATCTTTTAAGAATTTCAAGCAATTAGTCACCGCACAAAGCCAAAAAATTGCAGCTGGATGTTCTTTTGGTATCTAATAATTATTGTTGTAGTTATAGTTAAAAAAGAAGTTTGATTAAAATGGCAAAAAGAATTACCAATAATCTTTTTTTTTTAGTTTATATTGCTTGTACATCTTTTTTGCAGGGTTCGTCAACACAAATCTTAAGGAGGGAAAAAGCCATTCGGTCATTACTACAGAGGCCAGCAGGTTAAAATGCACAATACTACAATTGCAGCTTGAAATCAAAGGGAGAGGGTAAGGCTTTATTACTTTTTTAATTAAATTTTTTATTTTCCACAGCCATTTAATCTTAAGAAGGTCCTTTGGGAAGGATGAAGTCACAAATGGAGAATCTGTTGGCAGTTGCAAAGGATGGCACTTCCATATGGTGTAATTAAAAAACAACCACCATAAATCTCAATTACAAATTCAAGATATTAAAGCATACAGTTTACCTACTCCAACACCGAGCACTTGAAGAGTTGAAGACCTTTGTCAGAGTTTTGGCTGCAATTCCTAAAGACTGGCCAAGTGCAAAGGCTTCTGAAACCCCAAGCATAGTCACAGNAAGCATTACAGTAATGAATATGACTTGGGCCAGCAAAATAGCGAAAGATACCTAACAAATAAACCCAAAAATTTGGATCAATAAAATCGCACTAGGGATGAGGATCCTACAATCGTACAAGATCCGGATCATGATCCATTACGACTTATGAACTTGGGATTTTTCAAGAAACTCGGATTGATTTCTGTATATAGGATCGTAAGATCTTATGATCCTACGATTCAGATTGGGATTCTGATAGCCATGTTATGCACTGGAAACTGTTTTGAACTTCTATGTCATTTGACATCTAATCACCCTCTCAAATTTCTGCTCTTGCAAAGTCATCCCATTACTTGGTTTTTCCACAGAATTTGAGATCCTTTACTCAATTAGGTACATGCTTTAAGCTTCATTAAGAAAGAACCTTGTGCAGTCATTGCAAAAAGTTCAGGTGAAGGCTCTGGATATGAAATGTTTTTAGTATAGAAATAACAGTAATCATTCGCGTAGGGAGGTGAGTATGAAGAAAGTCTCATTCAACATTCCCCAAGTGCTGAGAACAGCGAGGAAGTGGGTTAGGTGCGTCCATTTTGAACTTAATTGAGTGGTTCTTTCATTAGTCGTACTGCTAATTGTCAGCTGTGCAAGCCTATATGCCATGAACAGCAACTAATGTTAACGAGCATGCAACCATTAGCTATGTTGCTACCTGTTACACAATATATTCACATTCCCTGGGACATACGAATAAGTGAAGGAACAAATGCCAATTATAAGGTCAATGGGTATCAGAGTCTCTCTTCCTGATGCGTTTACAGGTATCCTCAAACACAGATTTGAGTAAAATTGTGCAAGCATATCTCTGTTTGAAAAAATCGTAGATATTCAGAATTCAGAACATCTATCCATGAAATTTTTTCCAATTTTTTATCACAAGAGAACAAATATTAAGGGGGAAAAACTTTCAGGCGACATTCAGATATGCAGATGAAAAATATCCTATGGATTTATCAAAGTAAAATTAAGAAGTAGATTAGTGATCTTTTAAGAATTTCAAGCAATTAGTCACCGCACAAAGCCAAAAAATTGCAGCTGGATGTTCTTTTGGTATCTAATAATTATNCCGATGAAAAATATCCTATGGATTTATCAAAGTAAAATTAAGAAGTAGATTAGTGATCTTTTAAGAATTTCAAGCAATTAGCCACCGCACAAAGCCAAAAAATTGCAGCTGGATGTTCTTTTGGTATCTAATAATTATTGTTGTAGTTATAGTTAAAAAAGAAGTTTGATTAAAATGGCAAAAAGAATTACCAATAATCTTTTTTTTTTAGTTTATATTGCTTGTACATCTTTTTTGCAGGGTTCGTCAACACAAATCTTAAGGAGGGAAAAAGCCATTCGGTCATTACTACAGAGGCCAGCAGGTTAAAATGCACAATACTACAATTGCAGCTTGAAATCAAAGGGAGAGGGTAAGGCTTTATTACTTTTTTAATTAAATTTTTTATTTTCCACAGCCATTTAATCTTAAGAAGGTCCTTTAGGAAGGATGAAGTCACAAATGGAGAATCTGTTGGCAGTTGCAAAGGATGGCACTTCCATATGGTGTAATTAAAAAACAACCACCATAAATCTCAATTACAAATTCAAGATATTAAAGCANAAGGGAGAGGGTAAGGCTTTATTACTTTTTTAATTAAATTTTTTATTTTCCACAGCCATTTAATCTTAAGAAGGTCCTTTGGGAAGGATGAAGTCACAAATGGAGAATCTGTTGGCAGTTGCAAAGGATGGCACTTCCATATGGTGTAATTAAAAAACAACCACCATAAATCTCAATTACAAATTCAAGATATTAAAGCATACTGTTTACCTACTCCAACACCGAGCACTTGAAGAGTTGAAGACCTTTGTCAGAGTTTTGGCTGCAATTCCTAAAGACTGGCCAAGTGCAAAGGCTTCTGAAACCCCAAGCATAGTCACAGCCATTGCTAAGTTGTTGCAGATCTTTGCTACCTAAATAACAAACATGTGCCATAGGTATCAGATACTCACTGATAATATTTTCACTGGTCATCAAATTACTTGTGTAAAAATGTCTACTTAGTCTATATTATATAGTTCACGCCTGATATGTAGTCTTATATTTGATTATAACAACTCCATAACAAATTCAAAGATTGTCCTACGAATTTTTGGTACATGCTTTATAACAAGTACAATACTGTTTGATGATATCTTGATGACTTAATAACATTTCCGTTTTATCCATGGTTCCACCCCATCGTCCTTGTTGCACCTCTATATGAGTACAAATGAAATACCTCTTATGCACCTTATCTTTATGCATTAGTATATTTGATTTCATGTTTCTTGGCTTCCAAGTTTTTTGTCCATTTTCTTTATATTTCCCGTATGACTGAAACATCTCCCCGGCAAAAGTTTTGTTGTTGAATACAAGCAGCTTCCCATTTGCCAGTCACGCAGAAATTTTCCACGCAATATACTGTAGCACCTCACATATCAAATTGAAACTTAAAGTCATGGCAGACCAACTTTCTATTATGCTATCTCAGAGCCACATGTTGATGGTTTAGAGCTCTTCGACATTAAGATTATTCATGTACCCATATATGGGTTCTAGACTCTCTTAATAGGGAAAAAAAAAACTCCTACTGAATTTGCTTTGGTGTTACCTGACCTATGAACTGTCAATGATGCTGAATATCTATCAATGAGAGAGTTTCCTTCATTAAATAGAAACTGAAGAGCCTAATACAGGCCTAAAATTCCTGCTATTTACAGCTCCCAATCTCCCTAAATATGGAATATAATATTCACTACTAATTACAAATATTGACAGCTAATATACAAAGTATATGCCATAAATATATATTATAAATATGGCTAGATATGTGCTGCTATAGTGCTATGAAGCCAATGTCAGAATACATATCCGAGTAACATCCCCCCCAAATGGATGCTAGATTTGCCTACAAGAAACTAATGGCACTGCCAAATCATGGCCTTGGTAAACACATCAATTATCTAAAGATCAGTGGAAACATGCGGAAGAGATGACACGAGAGTGACAATCCACTTCGATATGCCTCGTACACTCGTGATAAACTAGGTTAGCAACAATCTGAATGGCACTCATGTTGTCAGCGTGGATAGGAGTGGGATCATATTGAGAGAAGCCAAGCTCAGCCAGGAGCCCATGAAGCCAAACAATCTTCGAGCAAGCAATAAAAATCGCATGACATTCGGACTCAGTCAAGGATTTGGAAACACGAGTCTACTTNTAGTTGTGGTAATACCTTCTCTCGACAATCTGCTCTAGTGTGCTCTACTTTTCAAATTTTGTTATAAGCAGGGGCAACCAAACACAGATGGGAGCTTTAGGCAAAACTTTTGGATGAGGCCCCAGTACTTTGTAGTATAATAATGTAAATATGGGTAAATAATTATTAAAAATTAGTGGATACTTATTTAAAAAATATTTTTTAACATTTGCTACCGATTGACACTATAGAGAAAGAGAATCAAAATTCATTAATGTAACAAAGTTGTTTCCAAAGAACAAACGTCGACAGAAATTTCTAGTAGCCAGCTACTTCTACTCATTATGCATTTTTACTCCTTTTTATGTGTGTTTCTTGTGTGTTGTAAAAAAAACCTTAGTTATATATTCAACCCGAATAAAAGGGCCACAAATTATAAAAGCCTATTAATATTGTATCAATTTCTTCTTGGGTTTGCAAATCATATCTAATTTGTCTTGCCTAGTTAAAATTGGGACTCTAAAAAGTTTCTAAACAATTTTTTTAAAATAAAAATTGGGCCCCCAAATTTTACCATTTATTTGGGGGCCCTAGGCGGCAGCCCTAATGGTCTATGCCTAGGGCCGGCCTTTGTCAAAAGCTATCCCTAGGTTATTCAACAAGGAAATCAATGGTGAGAGGGACAACTGCAACACTTCCACAAAAGCATCAAACAACTCATTCCAGTTATATTACTTGCACACAACTTAAAAGCAAAGTTGTTATAGCTCGAAGAAGTGCACAACATACCGACCCATTTCCTGCTCCACCACAATAAATTATGTTTTTGCCCATGGAGAAAAACAAGGGTTTTGCAGCCAGATAAGCTTCTTCTGAGCCGCCAACCTGTATAAAATGTCACCTCTTGTTCATTAATTCATTGCCCAAAAAGGGCTAACCCTTGCAGCCACTATGCAGAGATTATCCTCTAAACCTACAGTGGCAGGAGCCTCATACAATGTATTGCCCTTTAATGAAATAAAAAATCATACCATGAAAGTAAGTGTTCCGGTCTCTGCGCCAAGAACACCTCCAGATACAGGAGCATCCAACATGACTGGAGTCTCCCCGTAATCTACACACAACATTCCTTGTAGAAATGTGAATGGAATTTGCAAAACATATTCCCATTGCCATTGCCTAGTTAATATTTCGTATCAATATCAGGAAACATTTATGTTATGGCCTCCTTATTGACAACACAACGTGGCCACTAATTTGTGGGTTCTGATCATGGCATTTGAAGGCAAATACATGTAGCAATGCCATATGTGAAATGCTACAACTGAATCTAGATTATTAACTTTGAGTCTGAGCCCGTTCAAAGATGACCATAACCGACACAAACTTACATGTCAAAGGCACATGTTATGAAAAGAAGGCATGCACCTGTGCATGATTTTGCTGGTGGAAGCCTTGATACAACTTTCTAAGATTCTGAAAAATCTTCTAAACCTACAAAATTTTGTTTCCATTGCTAGTCAAACTGAAATGTTTCTTCTCTAAATCATCAGTACAAGTGGCAGAGACAACTTCAAAGAGTTCAACACTTTATGGGGTACACCATAAAAAACAACTGAGGAACTTACTTTTCTGCCAGGACTCCTCAAGGAAAGTATGAGGTGAAAAGGACAAGAAGTAAACTAACATGGAAAGAAATTTTTATTAATACTTCTCACAGAATTGTGTTCTNTAGAAGGGCAAGGACCAATTTTCCATGTATGATTCTCATGAAGAGCTCGAAGTTCCTCATCCATTGCCTTCCGCCAACATTCATGTTTGATAGCCTTGGAGTAACATATAAGAATGAGAGTAGAAGACAAAGTAGCATTAAGAGAAGTATGCAAACCATACCAATCATGAGGACGAGAAACTCTGGTAGAATGCCTAGGACCAGGCTCAGGAGGCCTGATAGGCTCAGAAGAAGCAACCGGATTAGTCGCAGATAGCAAGTCAGACTCGAGAAGAGCCATCTGAACAGTCTTAGATGACGGGTGAGTCTCAGGAAGGGGTGAAGTCGATCAACGTCATTCATACACAAATCCAGGTTTGAACCACTCAAGAAAAGGAAGTCAAGTCATCAAAACGAGGAAGAACACTAATTTCAGGCAATGACTCATCATGTGCAAGAAAAAAAGGCTGGTTCTCAAAGAAAATAACATGACGAGAAATATGAGATCTGTCAGAGCATGGATCATAGGAAACATAGCCCTTGTGCAAAATATTATAACCCATAAAGGAGCATTTAATAAACTAAGCAGAAAGTTAGTGACATTCATGAGAAGGTAAATGAACAAAACAAACACTGCCAAAAGTATGCATATCAAGGTAGTGAGGATGTTGTTGATAAAGACAATAATATGGAGAATCAAAGTTCAAGACATAAGAGGGCAGTGTCAAGGATCAAAATTTCATTTCGAAATGGTCGAAATCTCTGACACGGTCGAAACATCCGAAACGTTTCCGTTTCTAATGAGACTAAAATGAATCAGTAATGAAATTGAAATTCTAATATTTTGAGGTGTTTCATAATGTTTCAAGATATTTTTTAATGTTTTAATGCATTTGCATAATTGTCTCGGAATATTTCAAGATATTTTGATATATTTTAACCAATGTTTTGAAAAAATAATTCTTAAATTTTTTATTTTTTCATTATGTTTCTGAAACGAGTCGAAATATTTTTATTTCCTAGGTAACCGAAACAATTCAACCAAACAAAATTTTGATCCTTGGGCAGTCTATTGATTAGACAAACTGCAGTAGACAAAGCCTCAGCCTAGAATTCACAAGAAACATTAGACTCAAGCAATAAGGTGCGAACAACATCCAAAAAAAGGCGATTCTTTTGTTCCGCCAGAACTTTTTGTTGTGGTATATAAACAATATTACTTGAATCGTAAGTCGCTTTAGTACGTGGTACGAGTACATGGTACGACACTTAGGTACGTGGTACGATGGAGGTAGGTTTACCTGACACCGTATTTTAAGTTGCAATTCATTTTTGGAATTCTTATGTAAATTGTTTTCACTATGATATAACATTATATATTACTGAACATTCATAAACACAAAGTTAGTTATCATTTATCTTATAGTTGTGCTTGATTTTCTAATATCTAAAAATTTATATAATTATAAATCTATATACATGTAGTCATTTAATATGCATTTTATATTTGTTTTACATGTTCTAAAGCGAATTGATTTAGAGTTAGTATTACAATTTGAGGTCATCCATTTTGGTGATGTAGATCGCGAACCCACCTTGTTTGAGATCGATGTACTCAGATCGTGAATTGTTAAGAGTTTAGTGAATTGTAGTAATCATGTGTATAAGGGCAGGCACGTTAGGAGACAATTGCTTTCTGGTGTAGGAAATCATGAAACTCATGAGACATATTCTCCACCAAAATTTGATCTCAAAACTTTAATACCTATAGAAAATTGAGTAAACTGTAATCTTCAATGAACGTCACAAAATACTTATATTGAGCATAAGAAATTATAGTTGTAATACCCTATACATCACTATGCATAATATCAAAACACTTTTCTCAACGATTACCATGAAAAGGAAAAGGAAGAGTCTTACTCTTTCCTAATTTACACGTAGAGCAATCAAAAGATAGATTATGAGAAAACTGATCTTTATTTGCCAACAAACCAGAATTCAACAATAGAGTTCGAATGACCCACACATTTGTGTCATACTTCACTCTTATTGTTAATAGTCGTACAAGCCAAAGATAAACAACTAAGAATGGAAAAATGAAGCAGAAACAATCTTTCACGAGTATCCCCCCGACACTTGATCCTGCACAAGACAACCATCACGAGAGAAATAGATATCACAGTGGTTATCAACTAACTGGCCTACTGAAATAAGAGTAGTAAAAAGTCTAGGGGATACAAAAGTGTCTTTGAAAGATGGACTAATATTTCCAACAACATTAATAGTTAAATGACTCCCATTAGCAATTTGAATATGTGATGAACCATGATATTTACAAACATTTCGAAGAATCTCAGATGAACTGGTCATATGATTGGATGCACCTAAATCAACAAGCCAAGATTGAGATGAAATATTAACATTACCTTAAAGTCCTACTACTGAAAAGGCTGAAGCAATCATTTGTTATACCATTTCAGGAATAAGAACAGATTGTTTAGCAACAGGAGAATTGTTTGAGGACACCGCTAGAGTAAAAGAAGAAGCGTTGATTGCAGCATGATAAGCATTAGCTTGATGATTCTGAGGTGGATTGGGACAAACCTTGATAATATGGCCTTGTTTCTTACAGTAGTTGCAAGTTTTCTTTGCACAATTGGCACCAATATGCCCTTACTCCTTATAGCTAAAATACTAGACGTTGTGCATATCCCTATCCTTCCCTTTCCCTTGAGCTGCACATGTAACTAGATTAATATTATATATCATTTGGTCCTGCTAGCAAGTAGCCTGTGTGAGAATGGCTGCTCTTCGCGAAGCAATTCTCCAAAACAAACATCTAAGGATGAAGAAAGATCCCGATTCATTAAATTTGAGCGAGTAACCTCAAATTCAGATCACAATTTCACAAAAAATTGATCTCCCTTGCTTTGCTCATGAACTTCCTGAACAGCAAAGAAAGATTCAGCTGGGACCTTTGTGTAAACCATGACAGAAAATTCTGCCCATAAATTCTAAAAACCAAAAAAATAATCCTTAATAGAGAGATTGCCTTGAGTGTAACTAGCAATCTTATACTCCAATTAAAAACATCTTGCTGTGTTGTCTTGATTGTAAACCATTTTCAAATACATCCACGTGATTTTCACAGTCTTATATAGTCGTGAATTAAGAACAATAAGAGGATCAATTGACCCTAAAAAATAAGTGATCACACGGGCATCTTTGACCTTCCATTGAGCTAACTTTGTAAGATCCGTAGGAGCTGGATCACTTCCATCAATATGACCCCACAATTCCTTTCTTGTTGTAACAAATAACTTAAACTAAAATTCCCACACATAATAGTTTTTACCAGTGAAACACACACCGAAAGAGTCAGAGTTGCTTATTGACATGATGCACGGAAAGCTATCAGCAATTGAGAAGCTATCAGCAATTCACAACCCCCACCAAAATTTTGACAGCACCACAACATAGCAAGCCCAGAAAATCCTAACAGTGCTGCAACCACCACACAAAGCTCCTCTGGCAACAACACCTCCTCAATAGTTTTTGACAGCCAAGAAGGTTTAAACCTCCACAAATTTACTCGACAATTCCATAGAGATTTTCGACAGCCAGGAAGGCTAACAGAATTCAGCTAAATAAAAAAAAAACTAACACCAAAAGGAAAAACCCGATTAATCCCACACTTAAAATCACCCTAGAGAAACCCAAAAAAAATAAAACTCTAATTTAAATTTCTGGCTCTGATACTATGTCAATAATACTGAATATCTCTCAATGAGAGAGTTTCCTTCATTTAAATAATAAACTAAAGAGCCTAATAAAGGCTTAAAATTCTGCCATTTACATCCCCCAATCTCCCTAAATATGAAATACAATATTCCCTCCTAATTACAACTATTGACAGCTAATATACAAGTATATGCCATAAATATATATAATTAGAACCTCTTAGGATCCTAGTGATTTGAACCTGAGTAAGTCGACAAATTCCCATTTATCCTTAGAAGAGCCTAGCCACGGATCATAATGCACTCTTCACACAACAAATTTTCCCTCGTGAAATATAGTCTCTTGTATGAGTAATCTTTCTTGTTTTTTCCCCTCCATAGGAAACAACAACTAAGTAGAATCCGCTTTGGTGCTACCTGACTTATCAATTCAGGAAAAGGAAATATGTGAATAGTCACAAGCATCCCAAACATTTCTAATGAAGCAGTGAACATAAACTGAATACGGCCTCCCCCCAGCTTCATCTAGGAGAAAAGAATCATAGATATGCCGGTCGTTAGAAGGAAGAACCGCCATAAAAAATTTCCTTGTGAATCATCTGTAGCAAAACAATGAACAGGAACTAGCAATTCGGACCATATTGAAAAGGTTTTCAAAACATAGCAGCCCGAATGCCTTTATGCCTAAGAAGCACAAACACAAACACACAGACAAAATGTTTTTAAAAAAATAGGACACGATCACGTTGTTGGACATGTTAAATACTATGTATTTATTTAGTTATGTGTGTGTGTGTGTGATAAAATAAACATATTTTGATAATAATCATTCAATTCATACTTTATTTAATTTTAACAACTCACATCATGATATCATTAAATAAAAAATTCAACACCACATATACCGACGCACACTCATCATAAATATTCATAACCCAATAATCAATGATTACCACAATTTCCATTTTCAAAAATATCCCAAATCGCAACCCTTATTTTCATCAATTTCAAAGAGCCACAATTTATAATCTATTTTCCATCACATTGTTTTCATATAGAAAGTTTATTCCATATAATTTTGTAATTGTTTTTGAAATTAAGTTATATTATGTTCATGTAGTGATTATAGTTTTTTCTATATTATATGCATTTGATTCATATTTCTTTAAAATATAAAAATAACTTTCTTAATTGTAAAGTTGTTCAACAAATTTTCAAAAATTTGAAAAAAAAAATCTCAAAATGTATCATCGAGCGTATCGATCACGTGCCCCCAATATGTCCTAAAAATTTTTAATTTTAACAATAAAAAAGTCGGATATTCATTTTAGCTAGTCCGAAACGTATCCGTGTCCCAGATGAGTCCAACACCGACACTCTAACCAAAATGAAGTGTCTGTTTCCTATACGTGTCCGACATCGACACACTTCCTAGCTTTATACTATAGGTTGAGTTAAGCATACTTCTTTGACGGAAAACGCCCCCCAAAACCAACTAATCCCTTGAACCAAAGATGGATCACTATTGACAAATAGTTTTTTATTTTCATGCAAGTTCTTTGGAATTGAGATGTCAGATCTTGAATTAGTTGTGGTAATACCTTCTCTCGACAATCTGCTCTAGTGTGCTCTACTTTTCAAATTTTGTTATAAGCAGGGGCAACCAAACACAGATGGGAGCTTTAGGCAAAACTTTTGGATGAGGCCCCAGTACTTTGTAGTATAATAATGTAAATATGGGTAAATAATTATTAAAAATTAGTGGATACTTATTTAAAAAATATTTTTTAACATTTGCTACCGATTGACACTATAGAGAAAGAGAATCAAAATTCATTAATGTAACAAAGTTGTTTCCAAAGAACAAACGTCGACAGAAATTTCTAGTAGCCAGCTACTTCTACTCATTATGCATTTTTACTCCTTTTTATGTGTGTTTCTTGTGTGTTGTAAAAAAAACCTTAGTTATATATTCAACCCGAATAAAAGGGCCACAAATTATAAAAGCCTATTAATATTGTATCAATTTCTTCTTGGGTTTGCAAATCATATCTAATTTGTCTTGCCTAGTTAAAATTGGGACTCTAAAAAGTTTCTAAACAATTTTTTTAAAATAAAAATTGGGCCCCCAAATTTTACCATTTATTTGGGGGCCCTAGGCGGCAGCCCTAATGGTCTATGCCTAGGGCCGGCCTTTGTCAAAAGCTATCCCTAGGTTATTCAACAAGGAAATCAATGGTGAGAGGGACAACTGCAACACTTCCACAAAAGCATCAAACAACTCATTCCAGTTATATTACTTGCACACAACTTAAAAGCAAAGTTGTTATAGCTCGAAGAAGTGCACAACATACCGACCCATTTCCTGCTCCACCACAATAAATTATGTTTTTGCCCATGGAGAAAAACAAGGGTTTTGCAGCCAGATAAGCTTCTTCTGAGCCGCCAACCTGTATAAAATGTCACCTCTTGTTCATTAATTCATTGCCCAAAAAGGGCTAACCCTTGCAGCCACTATGCAGAGATTATCCTCTAAACCTACAGTGGCAGGAGCCTCATACAATGTATTGCCCTTTAATGAAATAAAAAATCATACCATGAAAGTAAGTGTTCCGGTCTCTGCGCCAAGAACACCTCCAGATACAGGAGCATCCAACATGACTGGAGTCTCCCCGTAATCTACACACAACATTCCTTGTAGAAATGTGAATGGAATTTGCAAAACATATTCCCATTGCCATTGCCTAGTTAATATTTCGTATCAATATCAGGAAACATTTATGTTATGGCCTCCTTATTGACAACACAACGTGGCCACTAATTTGTGGGTTCTGATCATGGCATTTGAAGGCAAATACATGTAGCAATGCCATATGTGAAATGCTACAACTGAATCTAGATTATTAACTTTGAGTCTGAGCCCGTTCAAAGATGACCATAACCGACACAAACTTACATGTCAAAGGCACATGTTATGAAAAGAAGGCATGCACCTGTGCATGATTTTGCTGGTGGAAGCCTTGATACAACTTTCTAAGATTCTGAAAAATCTTCTAAACCTACAAAATTTTGTTTCCATTGCTAGTCAAACTGAAATGTTTCTTCTCTAAATCATCAGTACAAGTGGCAGAGACAACTTCAAAGAGTTCAACACTTTATGGGGTACACCATAAAAAACAACTGAGGAACTTACTTTTCTGCCAGGACTCCTCAAGGAAAGTATGAGGTGAAAAGGACAAGAAGTAAACTAACATGGAAAGAAATTTTTATTAATACTTCTCACAGAATTGTGTTCTGTGTGTGTGTGTGTGTGAGAGAGAGAGAGAGAGAGAGATGTTGAAGAGTAATCAATGTCACCATTTACTTTGCCATGTAGGACTATACAAAACGAATATGCTTTTAAGTTAAAAATTGCACAGTCAACCACATACAGCTATTGAAAAGGGAACTCTAAATAGAAACCTATTTTTGAAAAGCAAACTGACAAACTGAATAGATATATGGTGAATGATAAATGAAGATTCATTAAGCACAAATAACATGTCAATCCTTGTTTTGGTTTACTTTGTTGTACCTTTCTTTGCTTTCAAAGCACAATTAGATACAGCCATAGAAAGTTTTCTTGATGTTTGAGGATCAATGGTAGATGAATCTATAAATAACCACGGCCTTAAAGGATCTCCGCTTCCGCAATGAAGCAAACCATTTGGTCCAGTGTAAACATCCAATACCTACATGCTTGACAACATTATGTTCGTACTGGAATCTGTGCAGAGCAAAAAAAAAACAGAAATTTCCGGGAAAGATACTCAAAGATGGATGGTCATTTACAAGAAATGAGACTAGATTTAAGAAAAGACTACCATCTCCAATTACTCATTTTTCACTTTAGGACCAGAATTAGCTTTCTAAAGTTTTAGTAGAGCAATCGATAAATATGTTGAATAATGTTCTCTTACTCGAAAAAGTAAACTTTACTTGGCCAAATCCTGTGGAGATTTAATGTTGCCTAAGAAAACTTATTCCTACTGGCAGGAGTTGTTGTCCATGCGCATAAGATTGCACATTATACAGACAACAGTAGTTAACCGAGGACATAATGGAATATACAAAAAAAAAATGAAGAGAACAAAACAAATGAAATTTTTTACACTCACATGAATTGGTGAAGGCAACATCGTAATTACAACATCACTTGTTTCTGCAACTTCAGAAGGTGATTCTTTTGTGAGAATTCCCTTTTCTGAGAACATCTTCATTACATTAGGATTGCTGGTAGGAGGAAACAACAGATGAAAATCATGCTAAAGTTAAAAATGCACAAAGTTTAACTGAACAAAATTGGATGATGAATATCATAAACATAATAAGCAGTATCACTACAAAGAAACCTATTAATTCATCTCCACATATACCAATATTTGCATCCACTCGTTATTGACCTTGCAATTGGATATCGGGGCAGAAAATACGCCAACAAAAAAGTTATGAGGAAATAAAACAAGCGTGTAGAAAGATGAACTATAACTGCAACAGAATTGAGTTGACAACATTACACATCATGAATGGTGACACTGTATCCTGCTTTAATCAAGTTACTAGCCATTCGCGATCCCATGTTTCCTAGTCCAATGAATCCAACCCTCTGTAATACATCATTTTTAAGAAAAAAAACATATCAAAAAACTGGCATGAAATTGCCAAAAATGCATAGCAACTATGGAGAACATCACATTTACAATATCTAACTATTAAGAAACATGAGATCCCACTTATACTTTGTGGATCAATTGCTAAAAAGCTAAAAAAATAAAGAGCAAAATAAAAACAAAGGAAGACATACTTACCCATATTGACTGATTAAACAATAAATATTAACTTTGTATTAAAAGAAATCAAACCCATCATATTTCTCATTAGGCATATCAACCCAATCATATTCCTTATTAAAACCACTTAAGGATATGCGTAAAAAAATTCGGATATGCAAGCCGCAGTCTTTATTGTTCGAACAGAAACCCAATCCATTAGCAGTGAAGAGACAAACCCACTAATTTTCCCACAAAACCCAGCATACAAGAAGTTAATAATAAGTTATTTCATCCCCAATTCAGTCATTAGTTTGAATACTTTCAGAGAAAGCAGAGCTGGCCAGTCATATACTATGTACTGATCAAAACCACAAAGAACAACAAGAAGTAAAGCTCTTACGTCTAACAGAGATGGGAGTTTCGATGAAGAGAAACAGCGAGTTGAAGTTAAATGGAAGAAAGAAAAGCTCAATTTGGATTTGCATTTGGAAAGGGCAAACACTGATCTAACTCTGTGCATCGCCATTATTATCTCTGCAGCAGTTTGGCCAAAGCAATGTAATTTTGGGAGTACAGTATATGTGTTTATTATTGGTTGAAGTTGTCCCCATCTACCTAGCCACCTAGGCATGACAAAAGACCTGATTATCTCAAACAAAAAATTAATTAGTGAGTTTGAATTTAATTTAAAAGTAAAGATACAAAATTAAAATAAAATTAAAAAAGTTGTAATCCACATGCATATAAGTGGGTCTCATTAATTTTTTTTAATTATCTAATATTTTTGTTAATTTAAATTAATTTAGGTGATAATTGAGTGAATTACATAGTCTTATCTAATAAACAGATTATATCCAGACGAAAGAACTCAACTCATTTATAATTTATCACCTGACAACCCATTTAATAATTAATACATAAAATCTCCAAAAAAAAAACTAGGCAAATGTTTTTCTTTTTTAAATGTTGGATGGTGGTCTTTGGTTCATGTGTTTGGTTTGTGAATATGTAGTGGAATAAAAATTTGTTGCATTATTATTTCTTTTCTAAATTATGCTTACTATTCAATCATGCTAATGGCATCGAAAAGAGGTGAAATCAAATAAATAGTGACGAGTTAATAGATTTAGCATGTAAATTTGAGAATATCTTAAATGATTTGTTTATTTAATAGGTTACACGACCTGTATGTTTAATAAATGAGTTATATCCGATTTTGACAATTGAACCTCTTTGAATAAGCGAATTATGTATGAGTTAAATATTTTTTTTTACTTAAATCTACTAAGACTTGACACAAATTGACTCACCCGACGCCATTATCAAGCTTACAAATCCACCTTATTGTCCTAAGTGCTGTTAAGTTTACTTGTGATTGATCTAAGTGGAATTTAAATTAGGCTTAACCATTGAGTTTTGATGAGCTCGAACGGTTCTGAACTTGTAAGCATTCAAGTTGAAATTAAAGTTAATTTCTCTGAAAAAAATCTAAAGCAATGTTATTGGAATTTAATTTATTTACTTAATTCACTGTAATCACTGGATTAACTGTAAATCTTATCAAGCATTGGTATTTGGTGTTAATCCAAAGTTATAATGAAGACACATCATTAAATCAAATTTTTAAGTCTCAATAATATTAATGAAAAATATAATACTAGAATTTAACAATTAGCCCTAAAATGATAAATTTAACAATAAAAATGTCTCAAAATATGTATAACTAATCATTTAACTAATATTATAGATAGAAAGTAGAATTTTCAACTTATAAAAACATAATAACGGTCAATATTGATTCAATTTTTATCTATTTTGATTCAATGTTACAAAATCTATCTTAATATTTTTTCCACGCAAAAACTTCTTCTCTACACAACCCCCAAATGTCATTCTCTAATGTCAAAAAGCCCATTAATCTACATCTTCCTCTCTCTCTTATTTTATCTCTCTTCACTTTAATTTTGAATTGTGCAACTAAAGAAAAGAAAAAAAAAATTATTTAAAATATAAAAATTGTACGATCAATGTTTATTTTTTGTTATTACAAAGTGTCTTAAGGTATGAGGTTATTGCTAGTAAAATCATATTTTAGAACTTTAATTTTTAATAATTCCAATAGAGGATTAAAAAAAGAAGTGTATATAACCTAGAGTTATTTGGAAATACGCTTGTGCATGTAGATTGCTCGAGCAATTCTTTTTTTTTTTTAAATCAAACCTCATTTGAGGATTTTATTAATAAAGAGAAAAAATAGTAATCGAATAGGGGTTGGGGGGAGGGGGGAAGACAAAGAAAGCCTTACCCATTTGCCGAGTACAATGATGTCAAAATAAAAAGGAACAACACAAAGTATGAGTTACATCCAAAATTTGAAATAAATTCTAGTGCAGGGTTTAAAATGAAAACTAGGCTAACCACTAATGTCCCGATTTACATGGTAAGTGATGAAATTTAGAGGTGATGTCCACCAAATGAATGATGAGGACGAGATACAAAAATTTGCAAGACGATCTACAACTTGATTTCCTTCTATATAGACATGAGAGATCTGAATTTGCATTGATTGCATTTGATGTCAACAAACTCTCCAAAGATAAAATCACGTGCAAGAATCTGCTAGTCACATTCAATCCAAATTTGATCCTACTCAAAAGCTGCCGTTATATCAATCCCTTTAGATGACTACCATAAGTTTCGCATAATAAGCATTACGAGTTCCCAATGAAAGGCTGTAAACACCTTTAACTAGTCCAGGAGAAGTGAGAAATATGCCCCCACAAGCTGTTGGACCAAGGCAATCCCATCGATATTGAACCTATTTGATAACTGAGGCATGTCATCGACGTCCTTTGATATCCATCTTTATAAGTATTCCAAGCTCCTCCACCATGTTAAACATGGTCCCAAACACCAGAATTGTAGATTCCCATGTAAGAGAAAGAATAAAACACTTAACTGAAATGAGTGATGGAGGAATGTCATTGAATCGACAATCATTTTGTGATTTCCAGATAACGCTAATACAGTTCGCCATCGTGCTTAGCGCCAATTCCTTGAGCTGAGAACTGAAACTCCATGATTTCAAGAAAGCCAACAACTCAAGTGGGAGTTTCCCACAAAGTTTTGGCCAAAAACAATGCTCATCCATCCCCATAGACTTTAAGCAAAAGAGCACGAGAAAAAAAAATGTGATTTGAGCATTCCAATGTACGAGGCAATAGACAAAGCGAACAAAAGGATACCAACACAACACGAGTCGTTTGGAGATCATCATCAAATGTCAATCTACCGTGTAAAAGTCTCCAAAGTAATATAGAATGTCGAGGATGAATAAATAATAGGCAGATTTTAGTAGTAATGTACCATCCGTGGAAGAAAGCTAAACTCAATGATCTATCTCAGAATCCATCCATTTCAGTTCTTTAATTAGTTGTCAAACCATTAGGAGTTTTAATTGAAAAGTACATAGAATAGACCAATCCCCCCCACCAATATAATCCGCATCCTTGGAAGATAGTCTTGTCGCTAGCAATGGGTGAATATTATCCTGCAAATAACTCACTAGGAATTCCCCAACTGATTCCAAACTCGTGGTCAAATACTGGAGGTTTTATAATAATAAATAGGTTTAAGAGACGACTTTAGAAAACACGCACGAGAAAAACAAGCCCATTGTTCCTATGAGCCTAAAAAATTTCATGCCAAAGTTAACAGAGCAGCCTTGATTGAGGGTAAAGAAATCCCTCACACCAAGGCCACCTTCTTCCACCAGAGCACATACTTTATGCCATGCCACTGTAACCAGTGGATATCCCCTGACCAAATAAATTTTTGGACAGCCGCTTGGTTTCCTTAAGCAAGGAATCAGGTCATGGGAAAATTATCATGGAATATAATGACATACTCATAATAACAGACTTCACCAATTCAACTCTTCCCATTAAGGATAGAATGCAACCGTTCCAAGAAGCAAGCTTTACCTTTTTTCTATCAACACCTTTTCACTTTTCCCTTAAATATTGGAACCCCCAAATAAGAATAAGGCCAGACACCCTTTTGCATACCCCAGCCAAGAGGTATCATTTCCGATGGTCAGCTCCCACCCCCACAAAAATCAAAGNCCATGTAGGACTATACAAAACGAATATGTTTTTAAGTTAAAAATTGCACAGTCAACTACATACAGCTATTGAAAAGGGAACTCTAAATAGAAACCTATTTTTGAAAAGCAAACTGACAAACTGAATAGATATATGGTGAATGATAAATGAAGATTCATTAAGCACAAATAACATGTCAATCCTTGTTTTGGTTTACTTTGTTGTACCTTTCTTTGCTTTCAAAGCACAATTAGATACAGCCATAGAAAGTTTTCTTGATGTTTGAGGATCAATGGTAGATGAATCTATAAATAACCACGNTACTTTGTTGTACCTTTCTTTGCTTTCAAAGCACAATTAGATACAGCCACAGAAAGTTTTCTTGATGTTTGAGGATCAATGGTAGATGAATCTATAAATAACCACGGCCTTAAAGGATCTCCGCTTCCGCAATGAAGCAAACCATTTGGTCCAGTGTAAACATCCAATACCTACATGCTTGACAACATTATGTTCGTACTGGAATCTGTGCAGAGCAAAAAAAAAACAGAAATTTCCGGGAAAGATACTCAAAGATGGATGGTCATTTACAAGAAATGAGACTAGATTTAAGAAAAGACTACCATCTCCAATTACTCATTTTTCACTTTAGGACCAGAATTAGCTTTCTAAAGTTTTAGTAGAGCAATCGATAAATATGTTGAATAATGTTCTCTTACTCGAAAAAGTAAACTTTACTTGGCCAAATCCTGTGGAGATTTAATGTTGCCTAAGAAAACTTATTCCTACTGGCAGGAGTTGTTGTCCATGCGCATAAGATTGCACATTATACAGACAACAGTAGTTAACCGAGGACATAATGGAATATACAAAAAAAAAAATGAAGGGAACAAAACAAATGAAATTTTTTACACTCACATGAATTGGTGAAGGCAACATCGTAATTACAACATCACTTGTTTCTGCAACTTCAGAAGGTGATTCTTTTGTGAGAATTCCCTTTTCTGAGAACATCTTCATTACATTAGGATTGCTGGTAGGAGGAAACAACAGATGAAAATCATGCTAAAGTTTAAAATGCACAAAGTTTAACTGAACAAAATTGGATGATGAATATCATAAACATAATAAGCAGTATCACTACAAAGAAACCTATTAATTCATCTCCACATATACCAATATTTGCATCCACTCGTTATTGACCTTGCAATTGGATATCGGGGCAGAAAATACGCCAACAAAAAAGTTATGAGGAAATAAAACAAGCGTGTAGAAAGATGAACTATAACTGCAACAGAATTGAGTTGACAACATTACACATCATGAATGGTGACACTGTATCCTGCTTTAATCAAGTTACTAGCCATTCGCGATCCCATGTTTCCTAGTCCAATGAATCCAACCCTCTGTAATACATCATTTTTAAGAAAAAAAACATATCAAAAAACTGGCATGAAATTGCCAAAAATGCATAGCAACTATGGAGAACATCACATTTACAATATCTAACTATTAAGAAACATGAGATCCCACTTATACTTTGTGGATCAATTGCTAAAAAGCTAAAAAAATAAAGAGCAAAATAAAAACAAAGGAAGACATACTTACCCATATTGACTGATTAAACAATAAATATTAACTTTGTATTAAAAGAAATCAAACCCATCATATTTCTCATTAGGCATATCAACCCAATCATATTCCTTATTAAAACCACTTAAGGATATGCGAAAAAAAATTCGGATATGCAAGCCGCAGTCTTTATTGTTCGAACAGAAACCCAATCCATTAGCAGTGAAGAGACAAACCCACTAATTTTCCCACAAAACCCAGCATACAAGAAGTTAATAATAAGTTATTTCATCCCCAATTCAGTCATTAGTTTGAATACTTTCAGAGAAAGCAGAGCTGGCCAGTCATATACTATGTACTGATCAAAACCACAAAGAACAACAAGAAGTAAAGCTCTTACGTCTAACAGAGATGGGAGTTTCGATGAAGAGAAACAGCGAGTTGAAGTTAAATGGAAGAAAGAAAAGCTCAATTTGGATTTGCATTTGGAAAGGGCAAACACTGATCTAACTCTGTGCATCGCCATTATTATCTCTGCAGCAGTTTGGCCAAAGCAATGTAATTTTGGGAGTACAGTATATGTGTTTATTATTGGTTGAAGTTGTCCCCATCTACCTAGCCACCTAGGCATGACAAAAGACCTGATTATCTCAAACAAAAAATTAATTAGTGAGTTTGAATTTAATTTAAAAGTAAAGATACAAAATTAAAATAAAATTAAAAAAGTTGTAATCCACATGCATATAAGTGGGTCTCATTAATTTTTTTTAATTATCTAATATTTTCGTTAATTTAAATTAATTTAGGTGATAATTGAGTGAATTACATAGTCTTATCTAATAAACAGATTATATCCAGATGAAAGAACTCAACTCATTTATCATTTATCACCAAACAACCCATTTAATAATTAATACATAAAATCTCCAAAAAAAAAAAAACTAGGCAAATGTTTTTCTTTTTTAAATGTTGGATGGTGGTCTTTGGTTCATGTGTTTGGTTTGTGAATATGTAGTGGAATAAAAATTTGTTGCATTATTATTTCTTTTCTAAATTATGCTTACTATTCAATCATGCTAATGGCATCGAAAAGAGGTGAAATCAAATAAATAGTGACGAGTTAATAGATTTAGCATGTAAATTTGAGAATATCCTAAATGATTTGTTTATTTAATAGGTTACACGACCTGTATGTTTAATAAATGAGTTATATCCGATTTTGACAATTGAGCCTCTTTAAATAAGCGAATTGTGTATGAGTTAAATATTTTTTTTTACTTAAATCTACTAAGACTTGACACAAATTGACTCACCCGACGCCATTATCAAGCTTACAAATCCACCTTATTGTCCTAAGTGCTGTTAAGTTTACTTGTGATTGATCTAAGTGGAATTTAAATTAGGCTTAACCATTGAGTTTTGATGAGCTCGAACGGTTCTGAACTTGTAAGCATTCAAGTTGAAATTAAAGTTAATTTCTCTGAAAAAAATCTAAAGCAATGTTATTGGAATTTAATTTATTTACTTAATTCACTGTAATCACTGGATTAACTGTAAATCTTATCAAGCATTGGTATTTGGTGTTAATCCAAAGTTATAATGAAGACACATCATTAAATCAAATTTTTAAGTCTCAATAATATTAATGAAAAATATAATACTAGAATTTAACAATTAGCCCTAAAATGATAAATTTAACAATAAAAATGTCTCAAAATATGTATAACTAATCATTTAACTAATATTATAGATAGAAAGTAGAATTTTCAACTTATAAAAACATAATAACGGTCAATATTGATTCAATTTTTATCTATTTTGATTCAATGTTACAAAATCTATCTTAATATTTTTTTCACGCAAAAACTTCTTCTCTACACAACCCCCAAATGTCATTCTCTAATGTCAAAAAGCCCATTAATCTACATCTTCCTCTCTCTCTTATTTTATCTCTCTTCACTTTAATTTTGAATTGTGCAACTAAAGAAAAGAAAAAAAAAATTATTTAAAATATAAAAATTGTACGATCAATGTTTATTTTTTGTTATTACAAAGTGTCTTAAGGTATGAGGTTATTGCTAGTAAAATCATATTTTAGAACTTTAATTTTTAATAATTCCAATAGAGGATTAAAAAAAGAAGTGTATATAACCTAGAGTTATTTGGAAATACGCTTGTGCATGTAGATTGCTCGAGCAATTCTTTTTTTTTTTTAAATCAAACCTCATTTGAGGATTTTATTAATAAAGAGAAAAAATAGTAATCGAATAGGGGTTGGGGGGAGGGGGGAAGACAAAGAAAGCCTTACCCATTTGCCGAGTACAATGATGTCAAAATAAAAAGGAACAACACAAAGTATGAGTTACATCCAAAATTTGAAATAAATTCTAGTGCAGGGTTTAAAATGAAAACTAGGCTAACCACTAATGTCCCGATTTACATGGTAAGTGATGAAATTTAGAGGTGATGTCCACCAAATGAATGATGAGGACGAGATACAAAAATTTGCAAGACGATCTACAACTTGATTTCCTTCTATATAGACATGAGAGATCTGAATTTGCATTGATTGCATTTGATGTCAACAAACTCTCCAAAGATAAAATCACGTGCAAGAATCTGCTAGTCACATTCAATCCAAATTTGATCCTACTCAAAAGCTGCCGTTATATCAATCCCTTTAGATGACTACCATAAGTTTCGCATAATAAGCATTACGAGTTCCCAATGAAAGGCTGTAAACACCTTTAACTAGTCCAGGAGAAGTGAGAAATATGCCCCCACAAGCTGTTGGACCAAGGCAATCCCATCGATATTGAACCTATTTGATAACTGAGGCATGTCATCGACGTCCTTTGATATCCATCTTTATAAGTATTCCAAGCTCCTCCACCATGTTAAACATGGTCCCAAACACCAGAATTGTAGATTCCCATGTAAGAGAAAGAATAAAACACTTAACTGAAATGAGTGATGGAGGAATGTCATTGAATCGACAATCATTTTGTGATTTCCAGATAACGCTAATACAGTTCGCCATCGTGCTTAGCGCCAATTCCTTGAGCTGAGAACTGAAACTCCATGATTTCAAGAAAGCCAACAACTCAAGTGGGGAGTTTCCCACAAAGTTTTGGCCAAAAACAATGCTCATCCATCCCCATAGACTTTAAGCAAAAGAGCACAAGAAAAAAAAAATGTGATTTGAGCATTCCAATGTACGAGGCAATAGACAAAGCGAACAAAAGGATACCAACACAACACGAGTCGTTTGGAGATCATCATCAAATGTCAATCTACCGTGTAAAAGTCTCCAAAGTAATATAGAATGTCGAGGATGAATAAATAATAGGCAGATTTTAGTAGTAATGTACCATCCGTGGAAGAAAGCTAAACTCAATGATCTATCTCAGAATCCATCCATTTCAGTTCTTTAATTAGTTGTCAAACCATTAGGAGTTTTAATTGAAAAGTACATAGAATAGACCAATCCCCCTCACCAATATAATCCGCATCCTTGGAAGATAGTCTTGTCGCTAGCAATGGGTGAATATTATCCTGCAAATAACCCACTAGGAATTCCCCAACTGATTCCAAACTCGTGGTCAAATACTGGAGGTTTTATAATAATAAATAGGTTCAAGAGACGACTTTAGAAAACACGCACGAGAAAAACAAGCCCATTGTTCCTATGAGCCTAAAAAATTTCATGCCAAAGTTAACAGAGCAGCCTTGATTGAGGGTAAAGAAATCCCTCACACCAAGGCCACCTTCTTCCACCAGAGCACATACTTTATGCCATGCCACTGTAACCAGTGGATATCCCCTGACCAAATAAATTTTTGGACAGCCGCTTGGTTTCCTTAAGCAAGGAATCAGGTCATGGGAAAATTATCATGGAATATAATGACATACTCATAATAACAGACTTCACCAATTCAACTCTTCCCATTAAGGATAGAATGCAACCGTTCCAAGAAGCAAGCTTTACCTTTTTTCTATCAACACCTTTTCACTTTTCCCTTAAATATTGGAACCCCCAAATAAGAAAAAGGCCAGACACCCTTTTGCATATCCCAGCCAAGAGGTATCATTTCCGATGGTCAGCTCCCACCCCCACAAAAATCAAAGACTTTGACTTGTTAACACATTGACCCGATGCTTCACCATAGCAATCAACAAGGGCCTGCAGATTTTTAATACATGGATGGGTTTTATGACAAAAAAATAACGATATCATCTACAAACATAATATACGATGATGTCGAGAATCCTCTAAGAGATGAAATAGGTTGTAATTTACCAGATTGAACTAGATAAGTGATACCACGACTTAGCACCTCCTCATCCAAACAGACTAGTAATAAAGAAAGGGGATCTCGTTGTAGAACATCCCGAGAATAGGAAAAGAACCCAACAAGGGACCCATTAAATTAAATTGATAAATTAGCAGAATGAAAAATTTTTGAAATCCATGAAACGAAAACATCATTGAATCCGAAATCTTTGAGAACCCGTATCAAGAAATTCCAGTATAAGGTATCAAATGTCTTTCTCACATCTATCTTTATCCCTATATTATCTCCATAAGAGTGTATATCCAGAGAGTTAAAGCATTCAAAAGCCAAACAAATGTAACCTGAATTTTTTTGACCTTTCATGAAAACCCGTTGTTGTTCTAAAATGATACGAGGCATGATAAGAGCAAGTCAATCCGCCAATATTTTTGTAATGATCTTAAAGATAAAATTTGTGAGAGCAATAAGCCAAAATTGATGTTTGGGTATGTACAACCAATTGAAAGAAACTTTGCATTGCCAAGGTTACGTCATTACCCATAACATCCCACCAAAGACTGATAAAAGCCACCACCAAAGCTATCCGGGCCCCGCGCTTCCGAAGGATTCATAAAAAAAAAAAAAGTATCCCTAACCTCCAAATCTGAAGGAATCAAAGTGAGATTTTTGTTATCTTCATCCGAGACAAGTCTAAGTATGAAATGATCAACCAATCCATCATCCATAACCGGAACTTCCAAGGAGTAAAGAGACTTGTAAAAATCTACCATATGTGATTTCATAAGTGTACGGCCCTCAATAACTAAATCCCCACTCCGGAGAAAAGGAATGATACCTCGAGTAGCAACGGATCTTAGCTGGAGTGTGAAAGAACTTCATGAAACTTAAGTGCTGAGTGGACCACTGTTTGAGCTTATTTCTCCTCGAGGAATAATTCCTTTGAAAAACCATCATCTACTATTTGCTCCTGAATATCCTTCAACACAGGGAAAGCCAAATCAACTTTTATTTGAATATCTCCAAAAACGTCCCTATTCCATCTTTTCAAATGCTTCATAAGACGTTTGAGTTTTTGAATGATAAGAAACACAGGAAAACCACAAAAATTGGGTGATTCCCATGAAAAACGTCATGTACTTGCCAAGCATTTTCAAACCTAAATGGCGAGGGCTCATATTATCCCTCTTTAGAGCATCTCTAACAATGTTATTTAAAATCTATTTAAATATTCTATTATCTATTTTAGTTATTCACTTTTTCAAATTCACTCCAACAACACTATCTATTTTAACTACTCACTTCAGCTAACTTTAACTAACTTTCAATAATAAAATTCAAAATTTAACAATTCAACTATATATTGTATAAATTTAATCAATTATGGGCTACAAGAATAAATATCATAAAAGATGGGTTACAAAAGTAAATATCATAAAATACTTAGGGAATTTTGCTGGATTTTGGGAGAGTTTTTTAAATTTTTTAAGGATTTTACTGAATTTTTAAAGGAGTTTTGTTAGATTTTTTTACTACCTCAGCTCTTCTTCTTCTCATACAAAGCTCAACGATAATACAAATGGTAAAAATCCTCAAATCCCCAAATACTTTGTGTTCAACCACCAATCACCCAACTAACAAAGAGTAGAAAAATCAAACTTTAATAGCTGAAAAGGGTCAAAGTGACAACAAGAACTAACCTCCAAGAAGCGAACTTCTTGCCCAAACCGCTTCAATTCAGCCGAAATCCAATGTTTCCCTCTGGTATCCGTCGCTGCCACCATCGATCGCATTAGCTCTGTTCTTTCCATTTGCATTTTTCTGCTCATAAAAACAAAAAATTTTGTCTCTCTCTTGCTCAAAAATCAAATTCCAAAAAATTAAAACAGATGAGTGAAGAAATGAGTCATTGCAGATGAGCAGAAACTTGAAGAGGAGGAGGAGGCGACGAGGGAGAGATTGACACCAGTGAGGGAGTTACTGGCTAGCTACATCTATCAAGTGAAAATGAGGTTATCTATTTTAGATAGCCTTTTAGCTAGTCTCTTGGAGAAATATTTTAGGGGAAAGCTATGGGGAGGGTTTAACTAGCCTCTTGGAGATGCTCTTATAGAATGAGAATAAAAGTGGATGGTGATCCAAAGATATCCTTGGCAATAGCGAGCATGAGGAATTCAACCATACATGAATGTATAAACCAAGCTCCTATCAAGACACATGTCAATATGAGTACTCACCCCACATCAATTGGACCAAGTATAAGGACCTCCTTTTGCATCAATATTTATAAATTCTCAAGAATTAATCATCAAAAGAAAATCGTTGCACAAAATAGACTTTGATAGTATACCTCCACGCTTTTCATGTGCCCCCAAAAATATCATTGAAATAATCCATAATCATCCAAGGACCAGAAAAACCAATCCTAATAATAAAAATATCCAACCAAAAGTTATGAAGATGAGAATAAATAGTACTTGATGGGCCAGGCCCAAGGGCCCAATTCATGCTATGAGTCCAGTTTAAATTAATAGTCCAACTCCAAGAGATCCAACGCCCAAAGTGGTCCACGCTTGGTCAAGCTCATTAGGTACGAGGAGCTATATCAGCAAGGGAGCATACAAGGGTCATCTAAGAGTCTCATCCTAGCTACCTTGCAGTAANACGAAAGAACTCAACTCATTTATAATTTATCACCTGACAACCCATTTAATAATTAATACATAAAATCTCCAAAAAAAAAACTAGGCAAATGTTTTTCTTTTTTAAATGTTGGATGGTGGTCTTTGGTTCATGTGTTTGGTTTGTGAATATGTAGTGGAATAAAAATTTGTTGCATTATTATTTCTTTTCTAAATTATGCTTACTATTCAATCATGCTAATGGCATCGAAAAGAGGTGAAATCAAATAAATAGTGACGAGTTAATAGATTTAGCATGTAAATTTGAGAATATCCTAAATGATTTGTTTATTTAATAGGTTACACGACCTGTATGTTTAATAAATGAGTTATATCCGATTTTGACAATTGAGCCTCTTTAAATAAGCGAATTGTGTATGAGTTAAATATTTTTTTTTACTTAAATCTACTAAGACTTGACACAAATTGACTCACCCGACGCCATTATCAAGCTTACAAATCCACCTTATTGTCCTAAGTGCTGTTAAGTTTACTTGTGATTGATCTAAGTGGAATTTAAATTAGGCTTAACCATTGAGTTTTGATGAGCTCGAACGGTTCTGAACTTGTAAGCATTCAAGTTGAAATTAAAGTTAATTTCTCTGAAAAAAATCTAAAGCAATGTTATTGGAATTTAATTTATTTACTTAATTCACTGTAATCACTGGATTAACTGTAAATCTTATCAAGCATTGGTATTTGGTGTTAATCCAAAGTTATAATGAAGACACATCATTAAATCAAATTTTTAAGTCTCAATAATATTAATGAAAAATATAATACTAGAATTTAACAATTAGCCCTAAAATGATAAATTTAACAATAAAAATGTCTCAAAATATGTATAACTAATCATTTAACTAATATTATAGATAGAAAGTAGAATTTTCAACTTATAAAAACATAATAACGGTCAATATTGATTCAATTTTTATCTATTTTGATTCAATGTTACAAAATCTATCTTAATATTTTTTCCACGCAAAAACTTCTTCTCTACACAACCCCCAAATGTCATTCTCTAATGTCAAAAAGCCCATTAATCTACATCTTCCTCTCTCTCTTATTTTATCTCTCTTCACTTTAATTTTGAATTGTGCAACTAAAGAAAAGAAAAAAAAAATTATTTAAAATATAAAAATTGTACGATCAATGTTTATTTTTTGTTATTACAAAGTGTCTTAAGGTATGAGGTTATTGCTAGTAAAATCATATTTTAGAACTTTAATTTTTAATAATTCCAATAGAGGATTAAAAAAAGAAGTGTATATAACCTAGAGTTATTTGGAAATACGCTTGTGCATGTAGATTGCTCGAGCAATTCTTTTTTTTTTTTAAATCAAACCTCATTTGAGGATTTTATTAATAAAGAGAAAAAATAGTAATCGAATAGGGGTTGGGGGGAGGGGGGAAGACAAAGAAAGCCTTACCCATTTGCCGAGTACAATGATGTCAAAATAAAAAGGAACAACACAAAGTATGAGTTACATCCAAAATTTGAAATAAATTCTAGTGCAGGGTTTAAAATGAAAACTAGGCTAACCACTAATGTCCCGATTTACATGGTAAGTGATGAAATTTAGAGGTGATGTCCACCAAATGAATGATGAGGACGAGATACAAAAATTTGCAAGACGATCTACAACTTGATTTCCTTCTATATAGACATGAGAGATCTGAATTTGCATTGATTGCATTTGATGTCAACAAACTCTCCAAAGATAAAATCACGTGCAAGAATCTGCTAGTCACATTCAATCCAAATTTGATCCTACTCAAAAGCTGCCGTTATATCAATCCCTTTAGATGACTACCATAAGTTTCGCATAATAAGCATTACGAGTTCCCAATGAAAGGCTGTAAACACCTTTAACTAGTCCAGGAGAAGTGAGAAATATGCCCCCACAAGCTGTTGGACCAAGGCAATCCCATCGATATTGAACCTATTTGATAACTGAGGCATGTCATCGACGTCCTTTGATATCCATCTTTATAAGTATTCCAAGCTCCTCCACCATGTTAAACATGGTCCCAAACACCAGAATTGTAGATTCCCATGTAAGAGAAAGAATAAAACACTTAACTGAAATGAGTGATGGAGGAATGTCATTGAATCGACAATCATTTTGTGATTTCCAGATAACGCTAATACAGTTCGCCATCGTGCTTAGCGCCAATTCCTTGAGCTGAGAACTGAAACTCCATGATTTCAAGAAAGCCAACAACTCAAGTGGGAGTTTCCCACAAAGTTTTGGCCAAAAACAATGCTCATCCATCCCCATAGACTTTAAGCAAAAGAGCACGAGAAAAAAAAATGTGATTTGAGCATTCCAATGTACGAGGCAATAGACAAAGCGAACAAAAGGATACCAACACAACACGAGTCGTTTGGAGATCATCATCAAATGTCAATCTACCGTGTAAAAGTCTCCAAAGTAATATAGAATGTCGAGGATGAATAAATAATAGGCAGATTTTAGTAGTAATGTACCATCCGTGGAAGAAAGCTAAACTCAATGATCTATCTCAGAATCCATCCATTTCAGTTCTTTAATTAGTTGTCAAACCATTAGGAGTTTTAATTGAAAAGTACATAGAATAGACCAATCCCCCTCACCAATATAATCCGCATCCTTGGAAGATAGTCTTGTCGCTAGCAATGGGTGAATATTATCCTGCAAATAACCCACTAGGAATTCCCCAACTGATTCCAAACTCGTGGTCAAATACTGGAGGTTTTATAATAATAAATAGGTTCAAGAGACGACTTTAGAAAACACGCACGAGAAAAACAAGCCCATTGTTCCTATGAGCCTAAAAAATTTCATGCCAAAGTTAACAGAGCAGCCTTGATTGAGGGTAAAGAAATCCCTCACACCAAGGCCACCTTCTTCCACCAGAGCACATACTTTATGCCATGCCACTGTAACCAGTGGATATCCCCTGACCAAATAAATTTTTGGACAGCCGCTTGGTTTCCTTAAGCAAGGAATCAGGTCATGGGAAAATTATCATGGAATATAATGACATACTCATAATAACAGACTTCACCAATTCAACTCTTCCCATTAAGGATAGAATGCAACCGTTCCAAGAAGCAAGCTTTACCTTTTTTCTATCAACACCTTTTCACTTTTCCCTTAAATATTGGAACCCCCAAATAAGAAAAAGGCCAGACACCCTTTTGCATATCCCAGCCAAGAGGTATCATTTCCGATGGTCAGCTCCCACCCCCACAAAAATCAAAGACTTTGACTTGTTAACACATTGACCCGATGCTTCACCATAGCAATCAACAAGGGCCTGCAGATTTTTAATACATGGATGGGTTTTATGACAAAAAAATAACGATATCATCTACAAACATAATATACGATGATGTCGAGAATCCTCTAAGAGATGAAATAGGTTGTAATTTACCAGATTGAACTAGATAAGTGATACCACGACTTAGCACCTCCTCATCCAAACAGACTAGTAATAAAGAAAGGGGATCTCGTTGTAGAACATCCCGAGAATAGGAAAAGAACCCAACAAGGGACCCATTAAATTAAATTGATAATTTAGCAGAATGAAAAATTTTTGAAATCCATGAAACGAAAACATCATTGAATCCGAAATCTTTGAGAACCCGTATCAAGAAATTCCAGTATAAGGTATCAAATGTCTTTCTCACATCTATCTTTATCCCTATATTATCTCCATAAGAGTGTATATCCAGAGAGTTAAAGCATTCAAAAGCCAAACAAATGTAACCTGAATTTTTTTGACCTTTCATGAAAACCCGTTGTTGTTCTAAAATGATACGAGGCATGATAAGAGCAAGTCAATCCGCCAATATTTTTGTAATGATCTTAAAGATAAAATTTGTGAGAGCAATAAGCCAAAATTGATGTTTGGGTATGTACAACCAATTGAAAGAAACTTTGCATTGCCAAGGTTACATCATTACCCATAACATCCCACCAAAGACTGATAAAAGCCACCACCAAAGCTATCCGGGCCCCGCGCTTCCGAAGGATTCATACAAAAAAAAAAAGTAACCCTAACCTCCAAATCTGAAGGAATCAAAGTGAGATTTTTGTTATCTTCATCCGAGACAAGTCTAAGTATGAAATGATCAACCAATCCATCATCCATAACCGGAACTTCCAAGGAGTAAAGAGACTTGTAAAAATCTACCATATGTGATTTCATAAGTGTACGGCCCTCAATAACTAAATCCCCACTCCGGAGAAAAGGAATGATACCTCGAGTAGCAACGGATCTTAGCTGGAGTGTGAAAGAACTTCATGAAACTTAAGTGCTGAGTGGACCACTGTTTGAGCTTATTTCTCCTCGAGGAATAATTCCTTTGAAAAACCATCATCTACTATTTGCTCCTGAATATCCTTCAACACAGGGAAAGCCAAATCAACTTTTATTTGAATATCTCCAAAAACGTCCCTATTCCATCTTTTCAAATGCTTCATAAGACGTTTGAGTTTTTGAATGATAAGAAACACAGGAAAACCACAAAAATTGGGTGATTCCCATGAAAAGTTTCATGTACTTGCCAAGCATTTTCAAACCTAAATGGCGAGGGCTCATATTTTCCCTCTTTAGAGCATCTCTAACAATGTTATTTAAAATAGTTATTTAAAATATATTTAAATATTTTGTTATTTATTTTAGTTATTCATTTTTTCAAATTCACTCCGACAACGCTATCTATTTTAATTACTCACTTCAACTAACTTTAACTAACTTTCAATAATAAAATTCAAAATTTAACAATTCAACTATATATTGTATAAATTTAATCAATTATGGGCTACAAGAATAAATATCATAAAAGATGGGTTACAAGAGTAAATATCATAAAATAATTAGGGAATTTTGCTGGATTTTGAGAGAGTTTTTTGAATTTTTTAAGGATTTTACTGAATTTTTAAAGGAGTTTTGTTAGATTTTTTTACTACCTCAGCTCTTCTTCTTCTCATACAAAGCTCAACGATAATACAAAATGGTAAAAATCCCCAAATCCCCAAATACTTTGTGTTCAACCACCAATCACCCAACTAACAAAGAGTAGAAAAATCAAACTTGAATAGCTGAAAAGGGTCAAAGTGATAACAAGAACTAACCTCCAAGAAGCGAACTTCTTGCCCAAACCGCTTCAATTCAGCCGAAATCCAATGCTTCCCTCTGGTATCCGTCGCTGCCACCATCGATCGCATTAGCTTTGTTCTTTCCATTTGCATCTTTCTGCTCATAAAAACAAAAAATTTTGTCTCTCTCTTGCTCAAAAATCAAATTCCAAAGAATTAAAACAGATAAGTGAAGAAATGGGTCATTGTAGATGAGCCGAAACTTGAAGAGGAGGAGGAGGCGACGAGGAAGAGATTGATGCCAGTGAGGGAGTTACTGGCTAGCTACATCTATCAAGTGAAAATGAGGTTATCTATTTTAGATAGCCTTTTAACTAGTCTCTTGGAGAAATATTTTAGGGGAAAGCTATGGGGAGGGTTTAACTAGCCTCTTGGAGATGCTCTTATAGAATGAGAATAAAAGTGGATGGTGATCCAAAGATATCCTTGGCAATAGCGAGCATGAGGAATTCAACCATACATGAATGTATAAACCAAGCTCCTATCAAGACGCATGTCAATATGAGTACTCACCCCACATCAATTGGACCAAGTATAAGGACCTCCTTTTGCATCAATATTTATAAATTCACAAGAATTAATCATCAAAAGAAAATCGTTGCACAAAATAGACTTTGATAGTATACCTCCACGCTTTTCATGTGCCCCCAAAAATAGCATTGAAATAATCCATAATCATCCAAGGACCAGAAAAACCAATCCTAATAATAAAAATATCCAACCAAAAGTTATGAAGATGAGAATAAATAGTACTTGATGGGCCAGGACCAAGGGTCCAACTCATGCTATGAGTCCAGTTTAAATTAATAGTCCAACTCCAAGAGATCCAATGCCCAAAGTGGTCCACGCCTGGTCAAGCTCATTAGGTTCGAGGAGCTATATCAGCAAGGGAGCATACAAGGGTCATCTAAGAGTCTCATCCTAGCTACCTTGCAGTAAAGGTCATCCCAAGAGCCTCTTTTTAGCCACCTTGGAGTAAGGGTCATCCAAAACCCACCTCCTAGCCACTTTGGAGTTAGGGTCACCCCAAGAGCCTCCTCCTAGCCACCTTGAAGTAAGGGTCATCCAAGAGCCTCCTCCTAGCCATCGTGGAATAAGGGTTATCTCAAGAGCCTCATCCACGCCGCCTTGAAAAGAGTCAACTCTCACCTCATCCTTTGACTGAGTCATATGAAAAGTATTGTAACTACCTCGCCAGTTGAGAAGAGGTCGCCACCTCCTCCGGATCAACTATTTAATTACTATTAAGTCTCTCCAATCTGTTATGACTGCCAGATTATCTATTTAATTACCATTAAGTCACCTTAATCCGTTATGAGGTGACTATAAAATGTAAGTCCATCCAACATTTGGGGGGCATCATACTCAATCAAGCACAACTCTCCTCGCCCTCTCTAAGCTTGTAACTCTTTACTCTTCCCTGCATACTTGAGTTAATAAAATACCCAGCAACCCTTGTCATTCAAAGTGGAAGTAGGTCACNAGAAATAGTGACGAGTTAATAGATTTAGCATGTAAATTTGAGAATATCTTAAATGATTTGTTTATTTAATAGGTTACACGACCTGTATGTTTAATAAATGAGTTATATCCGATTTTGACAATTGAACCTCTTTGAATAAGCGAATTATGTATGAGTTAAATATTTTTTTTTACTTAAATCTACTAAGACTTGACACAAATTGACTCACCCGACGCCATTATCAAGCTTACAAATCCACCTTATTGTCCTAAGTGCTGTTAAGTTTACTTGTGATTGATCTAAGTGGAATTTAAATTAGGCTTAACCATTGAGTTTTGATGAGCTCGAACGGTTCTGAACTTGTAAGCATTCAAGTTGAAATTAAAGTTGNTAAGAGGAGGAGGTTGCTCCTTCACCAACCAATCCTATCCCAAATGCGTGACAAATGCTGGAGACCATGCAACAACTCGTGACCTAAAAGCAACAGATCCTGCAACTCATGCTCGTTGGACAAGGAGGAGAACAGCCTGCTAGACCCCAAGTTAGAGGAGCTCCATGCCTTGGGCTTCAAGGAGCTCTAAACGCCCTTTTGGGAGCCCCACATAGGGGAGCCCACTATGAAGGGCCTCCACCTCCTCTAGTTCTCACTACTCATGGTGGAGACCCTTATTTCCAAGAGGATGAGGGCAAGAACCNCTATTGAGTTTTGATGAGCTCGAACGGTTCTGAACTTGTAAGCATTCAAGTTGAAATTAAAGTTGACTTCTCTGAAAAAAAATCTAAAGCAATGTTATTGGAATTTAATTTATTTACTTAATTCACTGTAGTCACTGGATTAACTGTAAATCCTGTAAAGCATTGGTATTTGGTGTTAATCCAAAGTTATAATGAAGACACATCATTAAATTAAATTTTTAAGTCTCAATAATATTACTGAAAAATATAATACTAGAATTTAACAATTAGCCCTAAAATGATAAATTTAACAATNCCATTGAGTTTTGATGAGCTCGAACGGTTCTGAACTTGTAAGCATTCAAGTTGAAATTAAAGTTAATTTCTCTGAAAAAAATCTAAAGCAATGTTATTGGAATTTAATTTATTTACTTAATTCACTGTAATCACTGGATTAACTGTAAATCTTATCAAGCATTGGTATTTGGTGTTAATCCAAAGTTATAATGAAGACACATCATTAAATCAAATTTTTAAGTCTCAATAATATTAATGAAAAATATAATACTAGAATTTAACAATTAGCCCTAAAATGATAAATTTAACAATAAAAATGTCTCAAAATATGTATAACTAATCATTTAACTAATATTATAGATAGAAAGTTAAATTTTCAACTTATAAAAACATAATAACGGTCAATATTGATTCAATTTTTATCTATTTTGATTCAATGTTACAAAATCTATCTTAATATTTTTTCCACGCAAAAACTTCTTCTCTACACAACCCCCAAATGTCATTCTCTAATGTCAAAAAGCCCATTAATCTACATCTTCCTCTCTCTCTTATTTTATCTCTCTTCACTTTAATTTTGAATTGTGCAACTAAAGAAAAGAAAAAAAAAATTATTTAAAATATAAAAATTGTACGATCAATGTTTATTTTTTGTTATTACAAAGTGTCTTAAGGTATGAGGTTATTGCTAGTAAAATCATATTTTAGAACTTTAATTTTTAATAATTCCAATAGAGGATTAAAAAAAGAAGTGTATATAACCTAGAGTTATTTGGAAATACGCTTGTGCATGTAGATTGCTCGAGCAATTCTTTTTTTTTTTTAAATCAAACCTCATTTGAGGATTTTATTAATAAAGAGAAAAAATAGTAATCGAATAGGGGTTGGGGGGAGGGGGGAAGACAAAGAAAGCCTTACCCATTTGCCGAGTACAATGATGTCAAAATAAAAAGGAACAACACAAAGTATGAGTTACATCCAAAATTTGAAATAAATTCTAGTGCAGGGTTTAAAATGAAAACTAGGCTAACCACTAATGTCCCGATTTACATGGTAAGTGATGAAATTTAGAGGTGATGTCCACCAAATGAATGATGAGGACGAGATACAAAAATTTGCAAGACGATCTACAACTTGATTTCCTTCTATATAGACATGAGAGATCTGAATTTGCATTGATTGCATTTGATGTCAACAAACTCTCCAAAGATAAAATCACGTGCAAGAATCTGCTAGTCACATTCAATCCAAATTTGATCCTACTCAAAAGCTGCCGTTATATCAATCCCTTTAGATGACTACCATAAGTTTCGCATANATAAAAATGTCTCAAAATATGTATAACTAATCATTTAACTAATATTATAGATAGAAAGTAGAATTTTCAACTTATAAAAACATAATAACGGTCAATATTGATTCAATTTTTATCTATTTTGATTCAATGTTACAAAATCTATCTTAATATTTTTTCCACGCAAAAACTTCTTCTCTACACAACCCCCAAATGTCATTCTCTAATGTCAAAAAGCCCATTAATCTACATCTTCCTCTCTCTCTTATTTTATCTCTCTTCACTTTAATTTTGAATTGTGCAACTAAAGAAAAGAAAAAAAAAATTATTTAAAATATAAAAATTGTACGATCAATGTTTATTTTTTGTTATTACAAAGTGTCTTAAGGTATGAGGTTATTGCTAGTAAAATCATATTTTAGAACTTTAATTTTTAATAATTCCAATAGAGGATTAAAAAAAGAAGTGTATATAACCTAGAGTTATTTGGAANATTATTTAAAATATAAAAATTGTACGATCAATGTTTATTTTTTGTTATTACAAAGTGTCTTAAGATATGAGGTTATTTCTAGTAAAATCATATTTTAGAAC